TTTCTCAGTGTAATAATTGTTTCTTCCTATTGTTATTTTTGTAATTTCTAAAAATTGTCTTCTCATCATACAGGCATCTTTCATTACACTTACATTAATTTTTTTTTTTTTAACTTTCCTTTAAGCCCCCTAATCCCCTAAAGCTCTACCCCTTTCATTTCTACTACCTCTACTCCAGACCTTAATCTCTCCTTTAGGTAAGTTCATAATGCCTGACAGGTAAATGCCGCGTGTTGTTTTAACTAATTGTAGGGGAAATGGGATGTAGGGGTTTTGGGAGATAACCATGAGCGTGGCTCACTAATACCCCCGACCCACCTAGTGTGTCAGTAGTTACAAATTAAATAGCTAGGATAGGGTTAGGCAGGGTTCCCCCTAGACTCCAATATCTAAGAGTCACCTTGACTCAGCCTATGAATTTTTGGGAGTCAAAAATATTTTTTGAGAGTCAAATGTTTTATTGTATGATTAATGAAATTTAAAGTGTTCACTGTTAATGTTACACTTAAAGTTAAGTATCTTTTAAATATTATATGTCTTGAGTTTAAGTTAACAAGTGCTAATTAATGTTCTAAGCTGATTGTACTACAGAGAAATAAAGGATATATGAATGAGTGAGTGAGTGAGTATGGTTTTACGCCGCTTTTAGCAATATTCCAGCAATATCACGGCGGGGGACACCAGAAATGGGCTTCACACAATGCACCCATGTCGGGAATCGAACCCGGGTCTTCGGCGTGACGAGCGAACGCTTTAACCACTAGGCTACCCGACCGCCCCTATATATGAATGAAAAACAAAGTTTGTTGGTTTTATTTTTTCACAATCTTTAATTACTTCTCAAGCTCATGAAACAATTTACAGTGACAGTAATACAGGATGAATAAATAACATCAGTCTCAACTGTCAGACATAATTTTTAATCATGGATGGATATTAAAATACATTTCATGTCAGATTATAATTTAATACCACTAACTCATTTACATGTTTTATCTAGTTATCTTGTATTATCTATCAACAGTGAAGTTGAACTGAAGAATTGTGAACACTCGTAATATTTTCTGGTTGAATACAGTTTATTAGCAACAACAAACACGCCCAAAGCTTTACATTTTGTATATACCATATTTATTCTGGTATAATACGCACCCCTAATTATGGGAAATTAAATCCTGAAAAAAATATCTCTCGTGTATAATACGCACAGACTTTTCTTCAGTCTCATTTCAGGCTGTCATGATCTGTCATCGGAAATAGCATAACAAATCCGAATTGAATTACGCAAGTTAATCCTGTTGTTACACTATCTGGTAATAAAAATGTGTTCTCTGTATATCTGACCTGATGTTTGTCATCTATTTTATTAATTTTATTTAAAATTTTGTTCAATAATGTTTACCTAAATTTCGGCAAAAACATGTGTCCCTCCAATACTTACAACTTCCGTTTACCCCGTTCCATAGGTTCCGCTTTACCACATACTGTGACCGCGCCAAATCACATTATTCACCGCAACAATGATAATATTTTCTTCTGTTTCATTTTTTACGAGTCTACACATCTAGATAAACATGTCATGGTTAACTTTTAGTGAGAAAATATGCCGAAACGTGAAAAACCTTGTCCATTTGCGGAGTTTTCCTTTGTTTACATCACATGCTGTCATCGAAGCCACACGGAGTGTGAGAGTTACGTTCACTTATATATATTTTGTCATGTACCTCACAGTCGCACAGTTTTAGTAGCATATCTATATCATTATGCAAAACAATATGTAAAGCCCCCGGCTGTTCTGATTTTAGCGTTTGTTTTAAAACGAGAGAAAAGTCTGGTCATGTGACAGGCTATGCAAATTAGCCCATGGCAGTGGTGTTATGCGAAGTTATGTTACTTCTAAAAACGACGATTAATTAAAAACTAGACGTAAATTTTAAGATGTTTGCATATATTGTCTTCAGAAAATGTTTATAAATTAAGTTCAGGTGAGTAGTTGTAATATTTTCATTCCAAAGCTGGTAAACAACAACATAGATATTTTGAAATTGCGTCAGTCATGACGCAGTCATTTATTTCTGGACGTATTTTTCCTTACTTTAGAGTCATATACGCAAGAATTCTGCGTCAGGGGAAACCCTGGTTAGGGTTTGAAAAATTAATAAAAAAATGGAAAATTAATAAAAACAATTTTTTTCTTTTGACTGCACCCCTCCATATGACACAGATTATATGTACTAAGTTTGAGATGAATCCACTGGATAGTTTAAGAGAAATCGCACGGACAAAATTTTCGGACGGACGTTAGGGTTTGAAAAATTCATTAAAAAATGGAAAATTAATAAAAACATTTTTTTTTCTTTTGACTGCACCCCTCCATATGACACAGATTATATGTACTAAGTTTGAGATGAATCCACTGAACAGTTTAAGAGAAATCGTGCGGACAAAGTTTTCGGACGGACGGAATCTTGATATAAAAATTATTAAATGTTATGAATGGCATTTTTGTGGTCCCAGGATACTGTAGTTTTAAAATATACTCACCACCAAAAGAATTGCCAACCATAGAAACATATAGAGAAGTGTGTAGGTTAGGAAGAGATGTTTCCAATGTGTACCACTTAATGCCAAAACTAACACAATGTGTATGCCAAAACTCACACAACGTGTACCACTTAATGACAAAACTAACACAATGTGTACCACTTAAAGGGCAAGTTCACACGGAAATTAACCTATTTTTCTTGTACTTTTTCCACATTAAAAGTGTTAACCTAGAAGTGTCATAGACAAAAATATAAAAATATCACAATTAATTAACATATTTTTCGCATTTAAACGATTTATATTTTTCACATTTACCAAGTGTTCTATTTCCACAACAAAAACACCATGGCTTATGCCCCTTGCAATATGACGTCATTGGTGCCAATTGATAAACATTATGACGTCATCATGCTTTGTTAGAGCCGCTTCACGTGGTGTAGGTCTAGGTGTGTGATTCTAGCGTCTCAGATGCCAGCCAGCATAGTGTTATGCTGAGTCACCACTGCGCCGGAGTGTGTCGTAGGCCATGTTGTTTTACCGCAAACTGGTACTTGATATCTTTTGCGTTGAGAATAGACAGGGACCCAGTTGAATTGGCACCAATTATGTCATAATCTAAGGGGGATAACTCAGGCCTGTTTAGCTCGAAAAACGAAGGCCTCATAACGGCATATCATTTTCACACTATTGTGAGCTTCCTACTTTCACTGTGAAAAAAATGAGTGTATATTTTCAAACACAGATACTAATTAATTCTAAAATTGCGTTTTGTTTAGAAAAAGAAAGAAAGTGATTTTTGCGTGTACACTTCCCCTTTAATGCCAAAACTCACACAATGTGTACCACTTAATGCCAAAACTAACACAACGTGTACCACTTAATGCCAAAACTCACACAATGTGGACCACTTAATGACAAAACTCACACAATGTGTACCACTTAATGCCAAAACTAACACAATGTGTACCACTTAATGACAAAACTAACACAACGTGTACCACTTAATGACAAAACTCACACAATGTGTACCACTTAATGCCAAAACTAACACAATGTGTACCACTTAATGCCAAAACTAACACAATGTGTACCACTTAATGACAAAACTAACACAACGTGTACCACTTAATGACAAAACTCACACAATGTGTACCACTTAATGACAAAACTAACACAATGTGTACCACTTTATGACAAAACTAACACAATGTGTACCACTTAATGCCAAAACTCACACAATGTGTACCACTTAATGCCAAAACTCACACAATGTGTACCACTTAATGACAAAACTAACACAATGTGTACCACTTAATGCCAAAACTAACACAATGTGTACCACTTAATGACAAAACTAACACAATGTGTACCACTTAATGCCAAAACTAACACAACGTGTACCACTTAATGCCAAAACTAACACAATGTGTACCACTTAATGCCAAAACTCACACAACGTGTACCACTTAATGCCAAAACTAACACAACGTGTACCACTTAATGCCAAAACTCACACAATGTGTACCACTTAATGCCAAAACTAACACAATGTGTACCACTTAATGACAAAACTAACACAATGTGTACCACTTAATGACAAAACTAACACAATGTGTACCACTTAATGACAAAACTAACACAATGTGTACCACTTAATGACAAAACTAACAATCAGTCAAGTGTTACCACAGTGTCCTTATTCTTATCACAATATGCTGCATGTGATTTCCAAACTTTACAGGCTAATCCTGGACGAGACAAATGCTGCATCTTGAGTCATGGATCTATGACGTCACATGTGTCGATTCACACAACATACGTTGCGTCCAAAGTGTCTGGCAACTTCATTCTGTGATTGGCCAGCTTATTTTCGTTGTCTTGTCGTTTTCCTTCGTTGTACCCGATTAATGAAGTATGTGGTCGTGATGTTCATTGGGGTTGTAGGCAGCATGCTATGCATGCACAGTTTGTGATGTCTGATAGAGTTTGCGCTCCGTGTTCAGTGACATGTCATACTTACAGCTGAAATCACAACAGTTCCCTTAAATATTGTATATTTTAGTAGTGGATGGAAAATGATGAGGTGAGGTGAAATTGGGTTTAACGTCGCGTCCAAGATTATTGCACTTATATAGCGACGTGCATGTACGTGTGTGTGTTTGTGTGGCTGCTTGTACTAGTCCGGACTGATGCCGATTTATAGTGCCAGCTCACAGAGATACCATGCCGCAGTTTAACATGAATACCCCACTCAGACAGTATACTGACTCCGAGCCGACCAGTCCTTGTTTTAGCCCCTTAATGCCGAGCGCCAGACAGGGTAACAACAAGTACAATCTTTTAACGCCTTTTTGTATGACGCGGCCCGGGATCGAACCCTGGACCTTCCGCTCTCCGGGCGAACGCTCTACCACAAGACCACGGAGGCGGTCTGGAAAATGATGAAGACTTACCTCTAGCTTATCTTTCTTGGATTCTGGGATGACTTTGTCTGTCCCCGGCCAACAAAAGGCATCACACCGGACTCCGTTCTTCACTGCCGATAATCCACTGTTGAGATTGACGGTTGCCTCTGTATACCTATGACAACAGTTACCATGGTTACCAAGGAGACATGTTCGAATTGAAGAAAGAGCCTAAACAAAACACCTCACAATTTACTCAAGATTAGTTTCCCCTAAAGATACATATCAAGGCTCCAGCCTCACGTATTGTTGTTGAGTTAGTTTTGGTTTGGTTTGCCGCACTCAGCAATATTCCAGCTATATGACGGCGGTCTGTAAATAATCCAGTCTGGACCAGACAATCCAGTGATTTATATCATGAGCATCGATCCGTGCAATTGGGATCGATGACATGCTTCAACCAAGTCAGCGAGCCTGACCACCCGATCCCGTTAGTCGCCTTTTAGGACAAGCATAGTCGCCTTTTACGGCAAGCATGGGTTGCTGAAGACCTATTCTACCCTGGAATCTTCACGGGTCTGTTGAGTTAGTGAGGGTGTTGCGCTTAACACCACCTTGAACCGTATTTCAGTTATATCACATCGTGTCAGCTGGATGTGGGAGCAAGGTCTAAGTAACGCAGGTCTTAGACATTTATCACAAGCTGACAAACCAAGGAACATAAAATTGTGAACTGGGATTCAAAACCAGAATCATAGGTTCCTGACACGCTAAGGGAGGCAACTGTGCACAGCAAACAGTAGCACCAAGGACAGCTAGGCCACCACAAGGATATAAATAAGGGTGACATGCAAAGTTTCGTTTGTTTGTTTGTTTCTTGTTTCACGCCGCACTCAGCAATATTCAAGCAATATCACGGCGGGGGACACCAGAAATGGGCTTCACACATTGTACCCATGTCTTGAATCGAACCCAGGTCTTCGGCGTGACGAGCGAATGCTTTAACCACTAGGCTACCCGACCGCCCCATTAACATAACTGATGTAGTTTTGGAGTAATCAGTGGGGTTTAAAAAAAGCATAATTTGTAGACTAGACATAAGTGAAACATGTGATCAAAGCTCAACAAGTTCATCAAATTTATGTGACACAAATCAATTGAATAACAAAGTGGCGCTTTGAGTTCTGCGTTTTACATAACAACCAATCAGAGACCTTGTGTCATAGAGTACTAAATATGTTTACACTTTGTTTGTTTGTATACTGTTTAACGCCACGCTCAACAATATTTCAGGTATATGACGGCAGTCTGTAAACAATTGAGTCTGGACCAGACAATCCAGTGATTGTTATCATGAGCATCGATCCACCAATGACCACCTGATCCTGTTAGTCGCCTCTTACAACAAGCATGGGCTTCTGAGGACGAATTATGTGAATTGACAGCACTGCTCTCATTGGTCGGCTAAGGCGACTAACGGCATCGGGTGGTCAGGCTCGCTGACATGGTTGATACATGTCATCGATCCCAATTGCACGGATCGATGCTCATGATGTCAATCACTGGATTGTCTGGTCCAGACTCGATTATTTACAGACTGCTGTCATATAGCTGGAATATTGCTGAGTGCGGCGTTAAACAACAAACAAAAAAACAAAAAATCCATTGGTCGGCTAAGTCTTGCTGTAGAATGCATCATGTCACTGGTGTATTAACAATTTAGTCTCCGTGATATTTTATGCGTGGAAATAATTTGTGAAAAATATGCCAAAAATAGTAAATAGGGGGAGAACAAGCGCACAAGCATAATTTTTAGCTCAGAATCGTAACTATTTTGCCAAATCCCAATGGTTGGCCTCTCCGTTTATGTGTAAAACTAACTTACCTGTTTAATGTGACATAAGCCTTGCCAAGCCCATAGTAACTGGCGGGGAATTTCACGGTTGAGGTGCTACTGATTTCTTCAAACCTATGAATGGCCTCCATGATGTGCTGTTAAATAAATAAAAGTCGGAGGTCAGTGTTTGATGTTTGACAGACTGAATCAAACAGCACCTCTGTTCACCAAGCAGTAAATGGGTACCCGGTAGGATGAGATGCAGAACATTGTCAATAAGGCAGCTTGGGATGTATACTCCCCAGTGAGCTGAGAGTGCGAAATAACAGTACGCAGATCCAATAACTAGGGAAATAAGCATTGTTTACCAGTCTCGTTAAAATCGTTTCTCACCGATCGCTACCAAGACACAAACATCTCAAGACATCCCATTACAGGTCATGTCAGAACGACTTTTCATCTGATCAATCAGACCACAAGATCACGAAAGTACCATTTTCTAACGTCTTTTGGTATAACGCGGCCGGGGATCAATCTCCGGGCCTTCCGTTCTCCGGGCAGACACTCTACCACTAGACCACAGAGGCGGCGGTCATCATGAAAGTGAAAGCTTTAATGTGTTTTTGATCATGCAACCTCAAAAAGGTTAAGACTGGGCATTCAAAACAAATGGTCGTCTATTTCTCGCTTCAATGGGATAAACATTTGAATGGAAGAGTGAGTGAGTGAGTGAGTATGGTTTTACGCCCCCTTTTGGCAATATTCTAGCAATATCACGGCGGGGGACACCAGAAATGGGCTTCACACATTGTACCCATTTCTGGAATCGAACCCCGGTCTTCGGCGTGACGAGCGAACGCTTTAACCACTAGGCTACCCGACCGCCCTTGAATGGAAGAGACTTTCCACACGGCCACTGGAAAATACGGCTATACAATCTCGGCCGTCCATCAGACATCAGGGTTTTCTTTTGTTCAGTTTTCAAGCTATGCCAAAATATTTATCAAAGAGTCGTCTGGAATGGAAGAGCCATAAACCTCAAGAAAGCTGCTTTGTGATTGGCTTATGGTGATTTCCTGTTACTCCTATCCTGTGGTTGGTCAAAGTTCACGAAAGGTCGCTCTGACGTGACCTCCGATCTCTTCCTCCGATCCTTGTGTAGCAGTTACGAACACCAAGATCTGGTTTGCTGTGTTGTGAGGTGAGGTGAGGTGAAATTGGGTTTAACGTCGCGTCCAAGATTATTGCACTTATATAGCGACGTGCATGTACGTGTGTGTGTTTGTGTGGCTGCTTGTACTAGTCCGGACTGATGCCGATTTATAGTGCTAGCTCACTGAGATACCATGCCGCAGTTTAACATGAATACCCCACTCAGACACAGTATACTGACTCCGAGCCGACCAGTCCTTGTTTTAGCCCCTTAATGCCGAGCGCCAGACAGGGTAACAACAAGTACCATCTTTTAACGTCTTTTGGTATGACGCGGCCGGGGATCGAACCCCGGACGTTTCAAGGTTAACACATAGCACAAGTCAACTGTTTCAGACGAGTCAAGGTTTCCCTGTGGAATACCAGCTTACCATCACGTAGATGGCCACAAATAGTTACTCTGACAATTGAATGTAGAAGTGTATATTCATATTCCTTAATAATAATGATGATGAAAGTGAGGGAGTGAGTGAGTTTGATTATACGCCGCTTTTAGCAATATTCCAGCAGTATCACGGCGGGGGACACCAGAAATGGGCTTCAAACATTGTACCCATGTCAGGAATCGAACCCGGGTCTTTGGCGTGACGAGCGAACGCTTTAACCACTAGGCTACCCGACCGCCCCCGATGATGATGATGATGATGATGGTGATGGTGTTGGTGGTGGTGATGATGATGATAGTTATCATTATTATTATTATTATTATTATAGTTCTCACCGCATAATTGCCAGTTGCAACACCACTGATGGCAAAGGCGTACTTCAGAACAACCACTTTACACTCTGGTACGTCTTTTTGCTGAAAGAAAAGACAGGGAAATAAATATCAACATTACTTTGTTTTAGTTATTTCTCACTCAGAAACAATTTTCCTCATGCTGACTTGACATTCAAGCCTATTGTCTTCAATCAAATGCAGCGAATGAGTGAGTATTATAATGGTTGTTTAACGCCAAACTCATCAGTATCCTAGCCAAATGATGGCAGTCAGATAATCAAAACATAATAATCAAGCGTGTAAATAATCAAGTCTGGACCAGAAGATCCAGTTGTTGATGTCATGGGAAACAACCCATGCTGTCAGGTTCCTAGAGGCCTACACTAGCACAGGTTGCTAGAGGCCTACACTAGCACAGGTTGCAAGAGGCCTTCACTAACCCAGGTTGCTAGAGGCCTTCACTAACCCAGGTTGCTAGAGGCCTTCACTAACCCAGGTTGCTAGAGGCCTACACTAGCACAGGTTGCTAGAGGCCTACACTAACCCAGGTTGCTAGGGGCCTACACTAGCACAGGTTGCTAGAGGCCTACACTAGCCCAGGTTGCTAGAGGCCTACACTAGCACAGGTTGCTAGAGGCCTACACTAACCCAGGTTGCTAGAGGCCTACACTAGCCCAGGTTGCTAGGAGCCTACACTAGCACAGGTTGCTAGAGGCCTACACTAGCACAGGTTGCTAGAGGCCTACACTAGCACAGGTTGCTAGAGGCCTACACTAGCACAGGTTGCTAGAGGCCTACACTAACCCAGGTTGCTAGAGGCCTACACTAGCACAGGTTGCTAGAGGCCTACTATAGCACAGGCTGCTAGAGGCCTACACTAGCACAGGTTGCTAGAGGCCTACACTAACCCAGGTTGCTAGAGGCCTACACTAGCACAGGTTGCTAGAGGCCTACTATAGCACAGGTTGCTAGAGGCCTACACTAACCCAGGTTGCTAGAGGCTTACACTAGCACAGGTTGCTAGAGGCCTACACTAACCCAGGTTGCTAGAGGCCTACACTAGCACAGGTTGCTAGAGGCCTACACTAGCACAGGTTGCTAGAGGCCTTCACTAGCACAGGCTGCTAGAGGCCTACACTTACCCAGGTTGCTAGAGGCCTACACTAGCACAGGTTGCTAGAGGCCTGCACTAGCACAGGTTGCTAGAGGCCTACACTAGCACAGGTTGCTAGAGGCCTACACTAGCACAGGCTGCTAGAGGCCTACGCTAACCCAGGTTGCTAGAGGCCTTCACTAGCACAGGTTGCTAGAGGCCTACACTAGCACAGGTTGCTAGAGGCCTTCACTAGCACAGGTTGCTAGAGGCCTACACTAGCACAGGTTGCTAGAGGCCTACACTAGCCCAGGTTGCTAGAGGCCTACACTAGCACAGGTTGCTAGAGGCCTACACTAGCACAGGCTGCTAGGAGCCTACACTAGGCCAGGTTGCTAGGAGCCTACACTAGCCCAGGTGGCTAGGAGCCTACACTAACCCAGGTTGCTAGAGGCCTACACTAGCACAGGTTGCTAGAGGCCTACACTAGCACAGGTTGCTAGAGGCCTACACTAGCAGAGGCTGCTAGAGGCCTACGCTAACCCAGGTTGCTAGAGGCCTTCACTAGCACAGGTTGCTAAAGGCCTACACTAGCACAGTTTGCTAGAGGCCTACACTAGCACAGGTTGCTAGAGGCCACTAGCACAGGTTGCTAGAGGCCTACACTAGCACAGGTTGCTAGAGGCCTACTCTAGCCCAGGTTGCTAGGAGCCTACACTAGCCCAGGTTGCTAGGAGCCTACACTAGCCCAGGTTGCTAGGAGCCTACACTAACCCAGGTTGCTAGGCGCCTACACTAGCCCAGGTTGCTAGGAGCCTACACTAACCCAGGTTGCTGGGAGCCTACACTAACCCAGGTTGCTAGGAGCCTACACTAGCCCAGGTTGCTAGGAGCCTTCACTAGCTCAGGTTGCTGGGAGCCTACACTAACCCAGGTTGCTGGGAGCCTGCACTAACCCAGGTTGCTAGGAGCCTACACCAACCAAGGTTGCTAGGAGCCTACACTAACCCAGGTTGCTAGAGGCCTACACTAGCCCAGGTTGCTAGGAGCCTACACTAACCCAGGTTGCTGGGAGCCTACACTAACCCAGGTTGCTAGGAGCCTACACTAGCCCAGGTTGCTAGGAGCCTACACTAGCTCAGGTTGCTGGGAGCCTACACTAACCCAGGTTGCTGGGAGCCTACACTAACCCAGGTTGCTAGGAGCCTACACCAACCAAGGTTGCTAGGAGCCTACACTAACCCAGGTTGCTGGGAGCCTACACTAACCCAGGTTGCTAGGAGCCTACACTAGCCCAGGTTGCTAGGAGCCTACACTAGCTCAGGTTGCTGGGAGCCTACACTAACCCAGGTTGCTGGGAGCCTACACTAACCCAGGTTGCTGGGAGCCTACAGTAGCCCAGGTTGCTAGGAGCCTACACTAGCCCAGGTTGCTAGGATCCTACACTAACCCAGGTTGCTAGGAGCCTACACTAACCCAGGTTGCTAGGAGCCTACACCAACCAAGGTTGCTAGGAGCCTACACTAACCCAGGTTGCTAGAGGCCTACACTAGCCCAGGTTGCTAGGAGCCTACACTAACCCAGGTTGCTAGAGGCCTACACTAGCCCAGGTTGCTAGGCGCCTACACTAGCCCAGGTTGCTAGGACCCTACACTAACCCAGGTTGCTGGGAGCCTACACTAACACAGGTTGCTGGGAGCCTACACTAGCCCAGGTTGCTAGAGGCCTACACTAACCCAGGTTGCTAGGGGCCTACACTAGCACAGGTTGCTAGAGGCCTACACTAGCCCAGGTTGCTAGAGGCCTACACTAGCACAGGTTGCTAGAGGCCTACACTAACCCAGGTTGCTAGAGGCCTACACTAGCCCAGGTTGCTAGGAGCCTACACTAGCCCAGGTTGCTAGAGGCCTACACTAGCACAGGTTGCTAGAGGCCTACACTAGCACAGGTTGCCAGAGGCCTACACTAGCACAGGTTGCTAGAGGCCTGCACTAACCCAGGTTGCTAGAGGCCTACACTAGCACAGGTTGCTAGAGGCCTACTATAGCACAGGCTGCTAGAGGCCTACACTAACCCAGGTTGCTAGAGGCCTACACTAGCACAGGTTGCTAGAGGCCTACACTAACCCAGGTTGCTAGAGGCCTACACTAGCACAGGTTGCTAGAGGCCTACTATAGCACAGGTTGCTAGAGGCCTACACTAACCCAGGTTGCTAGAGGCTTACACTAGCACAGGTTGCTAGAGGCCTACACTAACCCAGGTTGCTAGAGGCCTACACTAGCACAGGTTGCTAGAGGCCTACACTAGCACAGGTTGCTAGAGGCCTACACTAGCACAGGCTGCTAGAGGCCTACACTAGCACAGGTTGCTAGAGGCCTACACTAGCACAGGTTGCTAGAGGCCTGCACTAGCACAGGTTGCTAGAGGCCTACACTAGCACAGGCTGCTAGAGGCCTACACTTACCCAGGTTGCTAGAGGCCTACACTAGCACAGGTTGCTAGGAGCCTACACTAGCTCAGATTGCTGGGAGCCTACACTAACCCAGGTTGCTGGGAGCCTACACTAACCCAGGTTGCTGGGAGCCTACACTAGCCCAGGTTGCTAGGAGCCTACACTAGCCCAGGTTGCTAGGATCCTACACCAACCCAGGTTGCTAGGAGCCTACACTAGCTCAGGTTGCTGGGAGCCTACACTAACCCAGGTTGCTGGGAGCCTACACTAACCCAGGTTGCTAGGAGCCTACACCAACCAAGGTTGCTAGGAGCCTACACTAACCCAGGTTGCTAGAGGCCTACACTAGCCCAGGTTGCTAGGAGCCTACACTAACCCAGGTTGCTGGGAGCCTACACTAACCCAGGTTGCTGGGAGCCTACACTAGCCCAGGTTGCTAGGAGCCTACACTAGCTCAGGTTCCTGGGAGCCTACACTAACCCAGGTTGCTGGGAGCCTACACTAACCCAGGTTGCTGGGAGCCTACACTAGCCCAGGTTGCTAGGAGCCTACACTAGCCCAGGTTGCTAGGATCCTACACTAACCCAGGTTGCTAGGAGCCTACACTAACCCAGGTTGCTAGGATCCTACACTAACCCAGGTTGCTAGGAGCCTACACTAACCCAGGTTGCTGGGAGCCTACACTAACCCAGGTTGCTGGGAGCCTACACTAGCCCAGGTTGCTAGGAGCCTACACTAGCTCAGGTTCCTGGGAGCCTACACTAACCCAGGTTGCTGGGAGCCTACACTAACCCAGGTTGCTGGGAGCCTACACTAGCCCAGGTTGCTAGGAGCCTACACTAGCCCAGGTTGCTAGGATCCTACACTAACCCAGGTTGCTAGGAGCCTACACTAACCCAGGTTGCTAGGATCCTACACTAACCCAGGTTGCTAGGAGCCTACACTAGCTCAGGTTGCTGGGAGCCTACACTAACCCAGGTTGCTGGGAGCCTACACTAACCCAGGTTGCTAGGAGCCTACACCAACCAAGGTTGCTAGGAGCCTACACTAACCCAGGTTGCTAGAGGCCTACACTAGCCCAGGTTGCTAGGAGCCTACACTAACCCAGGTTGCTAGAGGCCTACACTAGCCAAGGTTGCTAGGCGCCTACACTAGCCCAGGTTGCTAGGACCCTACACTAACCCAGGTTGCTGGGAGCCTACACTAACCCAGGTTGCTGGGAGCCTACACTAGCCCAGGTTGCTAGAGGCCTACACTAGCACAGGTTGCTAGAGGCCTACACTAGCACAGGTTGCTAGAGGCCTACACTAGCCCAGGTTGCTAGAGGCCTACACTAGCACAGGTTGCTAGAGGCCTACACTAACCCAGGTTGCTAGAGGCCTACACTAGCCCAGGTTGCTAGGAGCCTACACTAGCCCAGGTTGCTAGAGGCCTACACTAGCACAGGTTGCTAGAGGCCTACACTAGCACAGGTTGCCAGAGGCCTACACTAGCACAGGTTGCTAGAGGCCTGCACTAACCCAGGTTGCTAGAGGCCTACACTAGCACAGGTTGCTAGAGGCCTACTATAGCACAGGCTGCTAGAGGCCTACACTAACCCAGGTTGCTAGAGGCCTACACTAGCACAGGTTGCTAGAGGCCTACACTAACCCAGGTTGCTAGAGGCCTACACTAGCACAGGTTGCTAGAGGCCTACTATAGCACAGGTTGCTAGAGGCCTACACTAACCCAGGTTGCTAGAGGCTTACACTAGCACAGGTTGCTAGAGGCCTACACTAACCCAGGTTGCTAGAGGCCTACACTAGCACAGGTTGCTAGAGGCCTACACTAGCACAGGTTGCAAGAGGCCTACACTAGCACAGGCTGCTAGAGGCCTACACTTACCCAGGTTGCTAGAGGCCTACACTAGCACAGGTTGCTAGAGGCCTGCACTAGCACAGGTTGCTAGAGGCCTACACTAGCACAGGCTGCTAGAGGCTTACACTTACCCAGGTTGCTAGAGGCCTACACTAGCACAGGTTGCTAGAGGCCTGCACTAGCACAGGTTGCTAGAGGCCTACACTAGCACAGGTTGCTAGAGGCCTACACTAGCACAGGCTGCTAGAGGCCTACGCTAACCCAGGTTGCTAGAGGCCTTCACTAGCACAGGTTGCTAGAGGCCTACACTAGCACAGGTTGCTAGAGGCCACTAGCACAGGTTGCTAGAGGCCACTAGCACAGGTTGCTAGAGGCCTACACTAGCACAGGTTGGTAGAGGCCTACTCTAGCACAGGTTGCTAGAGGCCTACACTAACCCAGGTTGCTAGAGGCCTACACTAGCACAGGTTGGTAGAGGCCTACACTAACCCAAGTTGCTAGAGGCCTACACTAGCCCAGGTTGCTAGAGGCCTACACTAGCACAGGTTGCTAGAGGCCTACACTAGCCCAGGTTGCTAGGAGCCTACACTAGGCCAGGTTGCTAGGAGCCTACACTAGCCCAGGTGGCTAGGAGCCTACACTAACCCAGGTTGCTAGAGGCCTACACTAGCACAGGTTGCTAGAGGCCTGCACTAGCACAGGTTGCTAGAGGCCTACACTAGCACAGGTTGCTAGAGGCCTACACTAGCACAGGCTGCTAGAGGCCTACGCTAACCCAGGTTGCTAGAGGCCTTCACTAGCACAGGTTGCTAAAGGCCTACACTAGCACAGGTTGCTAGAGGCCTACACTAGCACAGGTTGCTAGAGGCCACTAGCACAGGTTGCTAGAGGCCTACACTAGCACAGGTTGCTAGAGGCCTACTCTAGCCCAGGTTGCTAGGAGCCTACACTAGCCCAGGTTGCTAGGAGCCTACACTAGCCCAGGTTGCTAGGAGCCTACACTAACCCAGGTTGCTAGGCGCCTACACTAGCCCAGGTTGCTAGGAGCCTACACTAACCCAGGTTGCTAGAGGCCTACACTAGCACAGGTTGCTAGAGGCCTACACTAGCACAGGCTGCTAGAGGCCTACGCTAACCCAGGTTGCTAGAGGCCTTCACTAGCACAGGTTGCTAGAGGCCTACACTAGCACAGGTTGCTAGAGGCCACTAGCACAGGTTCCTAGAGGCCACTAGCACAGGTTGCTAGAGGCCTACACTAGCACAGGTTGCTAGAGGCCTACTCTAGCACAGGTTGCTAGAGGCCTACACTAACCCAGGTTGCTAGAGGCCTACACTAGCACAGGTTGGTAGAGGCCTACACTAACCCAAGTTGCTAGAGGCCTACACTAGCCCAGGTTGCTAGAGGCCTACACTAGCACAGGTTGCTAGAGGCCTACACTAGCCCAGGTTGCTAGGAGCCTACACTAGGCCAGGTTGCTAGGAGCCTACACTAGCCCAGGTTGCTAGGAGCCTACACTAACCCAGGTTGCTAGAGGCCTACACTAGCACAGGTTGCTAGAGGCCTGCACTAGCACAGGTTGCTAGAGGCCTACACTAGCACAGGTTGCTAGAGGCCTACACTAGCACAGGCTGCTAGAGGCCTTCACTAGCACAGGTTGCTAGAGGCCTACACTAGCACAGGTTGCTAGAGGCCTACACTAGCACAGGTTGCTAGAGGCCACTAGCACAGGTTGCTAGAGGCCTACACTAGCACAGGTTGCTAGAGGCCTACTCTAGCCCAGGTTGCTAGGAGCCTACACTAGCCCAGGTTGCTAGGAGCCTACACTAGCCCAGGTTGCTAGGAGCCTACACTAACCCAGGTTGCTAGGCGCCTACACTAGCCCAGGTTGCTAGGAGCCTACACTAACCCAGGTTGCTGGGAGCCTACACTAACCCAGGTTGCTAGGAGCCTACACTAGCCCAGGTTGCTAGGAGCCTACACTAGCTCAGGTTGCTGGGAGCCTACACTAACCCAGGTTGCTGGGAGCCTGCACTAACCCAGGTTGCTAGGAGCCTACACTAGCCCAGGTTGCTAGGAGCCTACACTAACCCAGGTTGCTAGGAGCCTACACTAACCCAGGTTGCTAGGCGCCTACACTAGCCCAGGTTGCTAGGACCCTACACTAACCCAGGTTGCTGGGAGCCTACACTAACCCAGGTTGCTGGGAGCCTACACTAGCCCAGGTTGCTAGGAGCCTACACTAGCCCAGGTTGCTAGGATCCTACACTAACCCAGGTTGCTAGGAGCCTACACTAACCCAGGTTGCTAGGAGCCTACACTAACCCAGAGTCCCCATGAGAGAGAGTCTGTTGTCATGGATACTGGGTTATCACGGTTATATGCAACCCCTGTTAACATTACTGTTTGAAAATTTAATCAAAACTAAACATGAGTTGATACGTGGGGCGGTATGTCATGTATCTGACTGGTAACGTTCACTGATGCATCTGTGAAGAGTGACAACCTTAATTAATTTCCCATCATGATACCCTGAATTTCCCATCAGGACACCCTGAATTTCCCATCAGGACACCCTTAATTTCCCATCAGGACACCCTTAATTTCACATCAGGACAACTCTAATAACATTCACACAATGACCAAGCTCACACACTCTCATTACAGTCAAGTCCTGTTAATCCGACATTGTTGGTTGCATATGATTATGCATTAACAAGTATGTCGGATAAACGAAATTAGGTAGTATAAACGCTCGTGATCAAAAATTGGACAACTACACGATAGATAACGATACCAACACCTAAAATGAAAATGAAAAATGAAATATTCATTGTTGTGTTACATTGTCAGCAGAATATGTTTTCTAATCATGCAACCACTAAAGTTTAACACTAAACTACTGTTACGGACTGTATGACTGATTCAAAATTGACTGATTTTGAAAGCAAAGTCTGAAATGGAAGTCGCTAATTTGAAACTAGTGCTGCAATGCTTAAGAAAGCTGTTTTCTTAGTGGCGAATGTCGACATCCTGTTAGTAATTTCGTTGGTCGGTCAAAGTTCGCGAAAGGTTGTTCTGACGTGATCTGTAATGGGATGTCCTCAGGAGTAGCCAGAACTTGTATCCGATTTGAGATTGAGGTAATCTAGGCATGTAATTTAATGTAATGTGCATTTAAAGCAGTAATTGTTTATTGTTAAGCAAGTTTATCTCTGCAGCCGTTGAAATATGCAGCTACTCGCCGACATGTCACGCATGAAAACACGGGGCTGTGTACTCGCGGGCAGATGACCACGGAGTACGCTGATTTCTGTGTTGGATTAACGAGACTGATTAATGAGTGATTTCAGCAATTCATTGCAAATTAGGCATGTCGGAGTCGGAGTGCAAGACTATCGTATTAACGGGTCTAAATAGCACTGATTAAATCGGTTCCCATCACTTGTGTCGGATAAAGCCGATTGTCGGAATAACGAGTGTTGGATCAACGAGACTTGACTGTATCAAGAAAGGTCATGTCTGGGCCTCCTTACCAGGAAGTTAGAAGAGGAGTAGGTATCGAGAGCCTTCTCGAAGGCCATTCTAGCAACCTCAGCGAGGCCTTTCTCCAGCGCGTCGGAGCCTTCCCTCAGTGTGTGCTTGAAGGGGGTGAGGAGCTTCTTCCTGCTGTCTTGCTTCCGTCTCAACTTGGTGCTCTGTGAACACACCACACACTGATGTACAACATCAAGATCCTGGCCAACAACAGGGTATGAAACTCCCAAACATTTCAGCCAGACCACAGGACTGGCTAGCTGAAATACTTGCCAGCCCTGACCAAAACCTGCCTGCCCACTATAATCATGTGTTTCTCAGGATAATTTATTTAAAAATATGAAAACTGATTGCTCGTAGCATAAGCGCATCGCTAAATGTTAGGTTGTCTAAAAGCTAACAGAGTTTCCTTTTGGTTACATTTTATCATTCATCTTTACATGTGAATTAATGCTTATCATCGGGAAATATTTAGAATGTTTTCACCTATGAAATATAACCCGACCGTCGGGCAGGGGGATTTGAAAATCTCGGACGGTCGGGCAGGCAGGTATTTCGAACACTGCTGTACATGTCGTAAGAGGTGACTGTGTTTGTCGTAAGAGAGGACTATACTTGTCGCTGCCAACAATCAGACTACAAAATCAGGAAACTCCTAGAAGCCATCTACATCAAAAGGATCCAGCCAGCAATGAACAGAGACCAAGGCTATTACATCCCGCCTGCTTACCATCACCTAATTGCTAAATCCCTATGTCCATCCAATTAATCCACTGGCTTCCATCATCTCTATCAGTCTGCTCGCTGACTCTGTGTCCATTAGTCATCCACTGGCTTCCAATTATCTTAATCAGCTCTCGGTGTCCATCAATCAATTTACTGTATAAACATTGATGTTAATAAGTATATATACCTATGTTGTTTAGCACTATCCGTGTGCGAAATACGCTGCAGTCGGAAAGCGCACGTTAAATCTTCTATATCAGTCAGTCAGCACTATCCATCACTTGCTTGATAAAGGTGTTAGGATCTACACCGAAACGTCGCACTAATTGTAATAAAGAAGTTGTTCATCCTTAGGACTTGTCTTACTTCATCACACCAACTTCTAAAATGCCACTGAAAGAAGTTATATCAACATGCATTTAAGTGTGTGTGGCTGCTTCTACTGGTCTACTGAGATACCATTCTGCAGTTTAAAATGTATACCCCACTCAGTGTTTGAAAAAAAAAAACCTCCAGGCTGCCTTTGGACCCACAGATTTTGAAAGTTTTGGGCCCTGACTAAACTCTTCAGGCCCTCATGAAAACAAAACGCAGCTTATTGTGATAAATATGTCTACAGGTGTAAATTTACTACAGGACAAAAGGACCCATACAACTTTGACGCTACGGGCCCAATACGAGGTCCACCTGCCACAGGCCGGCGCTTATTTCAAACACTACACTCAGACACAATGTGCTGTCTCATGTCTCTGTACCATACAACTTTGACGCTACGGGCCCAATACGAGGTCCACCTGCCACAGGCCGGCGCTTATTTCAAACACTACACTCAGACACAATGTGCTGTCTCATGTCTCTGTACCATACAACTTTGACGCTACGGGCCCAATACGAGGTCCACCTGCCACAGGCCGGCGCTTATTTCAAACACTACACTCAGACACAATGTGCTGTCTCATGTCTCTGTACCATACAACCTTGACACTACGGGCCCAATACGAGGTCCACCTGCCACAGGCCGGCGCTTATTTCAAACACTACACTCAGACACCATGTGCTGTCTCATGTCTCTGTACCATACAACTTTGACGCTACGGGCCCAATACGAGGTCCACCTGCCACAGGCCGGCGCTTATTTCAAACACTACACTCAGACACCATGTGCTGTCTCATGTCTCTGTACCATACAACTTTGACGCTACGGGCCCAATACGAGGTCCACCTGCCACAGGCCGGCGCTTATTTCAAACACTACACTCAGACACCATGTGCTGTCTCATGTCTCTGTACCATACAACTTTGACGCTACGGGCCCAATACGAGGTCCACCTGCCACAGGCCGGCGCTTATTTCAAACACTACACTCAGACACCATGTGCTGTCTCATGTCTCTGTACCATACAACTTTGACGCTACGGGCCCAATACGAGGTCCACCTGCCACAGGCCGGCGCTTATTTCAAACACTACACTCAGACACCATGTGCTGTCTCATGTCTCTGTACCATACAACTTTGACGCTACGGGCCCAATACGAGGTCCACCTGCCACAGGCCGGCGCTTATTTCAAACACTACACTCAGACACCATGTGCTGTCTCATGTCTCTGTACCATACAACTTTGACGCTACGGGCCCAATACGAGGTCCACCTGCCACAGGCCGGCGCTTATTTCAAACACTACACTCAGACACCATGTGCTGTCTCATGTCTCTGTACCATACAACTTTGACGCTACGGGCCCAATACGAGGTCTACCTGCCACAGGCCGGCGCTTATTTCAAACACTACACTCAGACACCATGTGCTGTCTCATGTCTCTGTACCATACAACTTTGACGCTACGGGCCCAATACGAGGTCTACCTGCCACAGGCCGGCGCTTATTTCAAACACTACACTCAGACACCATGTGCTGTCTCATGTCTCTGTACCATACAACTTTGACGCTACGGGCCCAATACGAGGTCTACCTGCCACAGGCCGGCGCTTATTGCAAACACTACACTCAGACACCATGTGCTGTCTCATGTCTCTGTACCATACAACTTTGACGCTACGGGCCCAATACGAGGTCCACCTGCCACAGGCCGGCGCTTATTGCAAACACTACACTCAGACACCATGTGCTGTCTCATGTCTCTGTACCATACAACTTTGACGCTACGGGCCCAATACGAGGTCTACCTGCCACAGGCCGGCGCTTATTGCAAACACTACACTCAGACACCATGTGCTGTCTCATGTCTCTGTACCATACAACTTTGACGCTACGGGCCCAATACGAGGTCCACCTGCCACAGGCCGGCGCTTATTTCAAACACTACACTCAGACACCATGTGCTGTCTCATGTCTCTGTACCATACAACTTTGACGCTACGGGCCCAATACGAGGTCCACCTGCCACAGGCCGGCGCTTATTTCAAACACTACACTCAGACACCATGTGCTGTCTCATGTCTCTGTACCATACAACTTTGACGCTACGGGCCCAATACGAGGTCCACCTGCCACAGGCCGGCGCTTATTTCAAACACTACACTCAGACACCATGTGCTGTCTCATGTCTCTGTACCATACAACTTTGACGCTACGGGCCCAATACGAGGTCCACCTGCCACAGGCCGGCGCTTATTTCAAACACTACACTCAGACACCATGTGCTGTCTCATGTCTCTGTACCATACAACTTTGACGCTACGGGCCCAATACGAGGTCCACCTGCCACAGGCCGGCGCTTATTTCAAACACTACACTCAGACACCATGTGCTGTCTCATGTCTCTGTACCATACAACTTTGACGCTACGGGCCCAATACGAGGTCCACCTGCCACAGGCCGGCGCTTATTTCAAACACTACACTCAGACACCATGTGCTGTCTCATGTCTCTGTACCATACAACTTTGACGCTACGGGCCCAATACGAGGTCCACCTGCCACAGGCCGGCGCTTATTTCAAACACTACACTCAGACACCATGTGCTGTCTCATGTCTCTGTACCATACAACTTTGACGCTACGGGCCCAATACGAGGTCCACCTGCCACAGGCCGGCGCTTATTTCAAACACTACACTCAGACACCATGTGCTGTCTCATGTCTCTGTACCATACAACTTTGACGCTACGGGCCCAATACGAGGTCCACCTGCCACAGGCCGGCGCTTATTTCAAACACTACACTCAGACACCATGTGCTGTCTCATGTCTCTGTACCATACAACTTTGACGCTACGGGCCCAATACGAGGTCCACCTGCCACAGGCCGGCGCTTATTTCAAACACTACACTCAGACACCATGTGCTGTCTCATGTCTCTGTACCATACAACTTTGACGCTACGGGCCCAATACGAGGTCCACCTGCCACAGGCCGGCGCTTATTTCAAACACTACACTCAGACACCATGTGCTGTCTCATGTCTCTGTACCATACAACCTTGACACTACGGGCCCAATACGAGGTCCACCTGCCACAGGCCGGCGCTTATTTCAAACACTACACTCAGACACCATGTGCTGTCTCATGTCTCTGTACCATACAACTTTGACGCTACGGGCCCAATACGAGGTCCACCTGCCACAGGCCGGCGCTTATTTCAAACACTACACTCAGACACCATGTGCTGTCTCATGTCTCTGTACCATACAACTTTGACGCTACGGGCCCAATACGAGGTCCACCTGCCACAGGCCGGCGCTTATTTCAAACACTACACTCAGACACCATGTGCTGTCTCATGTCTCTGTACCATACAACTTTGACGCTACGGGCCCAATACGAGGTCCACCTGCCACAGGCCGGCGCTTATTTCAAACACTACACTCAGACACCATGTGCTGTCTCATGTCTCTGTACCATACAACTTTGACGCTACGGGCCCAATACGAGGTCCACCTGCCACAGGCCGGCGCTTATTTCAAACACTACACTCAGACACCATGTGCTGTCTCATGTCTCTGTACCATACAACTTTGACGCTACGGGCCCAATACGAGGTCCACCTGCCACAGGCCGGCGCTTATTTCAAACACTACACTCAGACACCATGTGCTGTCTCATGTCTCTGTACCATACAACTTTGACGCTACGGGCCCAATACGAGGTCCACCTGCCACAGGCCGGCGCTTATTTCAAACACTACACTCAGACACCATGTGCTGTCTCATGTCTCTGTACCATACAACTTTGACGCTACGGGCCCAATACGAGGTCCACCTGCCACAGGCCGGCGCTTATTTCAAACACTACACTCAGACACCATGTGCTGTCTCATGTCTCTGTACCATACAACTTTGACGCTACGGGCCCAATACGAGGTCCACCTGCCACAGGCCGGCGCTTATTTCAAACACTACACTCAGACACCATGTGCTGTCTCATGTCTCTGTACCATACAACTTTGACGCTACGGGCCCAATACGAGGTCCACCTGCCACAGGCCGGCGCTTATTTCAAACACTACACTCAGACACCATGTGCTGTCTCATGTCTCTGTACCATACAACTTTGACGCTACGGGCCCAATACGAGGTCCACCTGCCACAGGCCGGCGCTTATTTCAAACACTACACTCAGACACCATGTGCTGTCTCATGTCTCTGTACCATACAACTTTGACGCTACGGGCCCAATACGAGGTCCACCTGCCACAGGCCGGCGCTTATTTCAAACACTACACTCAGACACCATGTGCTGTCTCATGTCTCTGTACCATACAACTTTGACGCTACGGGCCCAATACGAGGTCCACCTGCCACAGGCCGGCGCTTATTTCAAACACTACACTCAGACACCATGTGCTGTCTCATGTCTCTGTACCATACAACTTTGACGCTACGGGCCCAATACGAGGTCCACCTGCCACAGGCCGGCGCTTATTTCAAACACTACACTCAGACACCATGTGCTGTCTCATGTCTCTGTACCATACAACTTTGACGCTACGGGCCCAATACGAGGTCCACCTGCCACAGGCCGGCGCTTATTTCAAACACTACACTCAGACACCATGTGCTGTCTCATGTCTCTGTACCATACAACCTTGACACTACGGGCCCAATACGAGGTCCACCTGCCACAGGCCGGCGCTTATTTCAAACACTACACTCAGACACCATGTGCTGTCTCATGTCTCTGTACCATACAACTTTGACGCTACGGGCCCAATACGAGGTCCACCTGCCACAGGCCGGCGCTTATTTCAAACACTACACTCAGACACCATGTGCTGTCTCATGTCTCTGTACCATACAACTTTGACGCTACGGGCCCAATACGAGGTCCACCTGCCACAGGCCGGCGCTTATTTCAAACACTACACTCAGACACCATGTGCTGTCTCATGTCTCTGTACCATACAACTTTGACGCTACGGGCCCAATACGAGGTCCACCTGCCACAGGCCGGCGCTTATTTCAAACACTACACTCAGACACCATGTGCTGTCTCATGTCTCTGTACCATACAACTTTGACGCTACGGGCCCAATACGAGGTCCACCTGCCACAGGCCGGCGCTTATTTCAAACACTACACTCAGACACCATGTGCTGTCTCATGTCTCTGTACCATACAACCTTGACACTACGGGCCCAATACGAGGTCCACCTGCCACAGGCCGGCGCTTATTTCAAACACTACACTCAGACACCATGTGCTGTCTCATGATAACAGTCTCTGTACCAGTCAACAAGTAGGTGAGGTGAAATGGGGTTTAACATCGCGTCCAAGATAATTGCACATATATAGCGACGTGCATGTACGTGAGTGTGTTTGTGTGGCTGCTTGTACTAGTCCGGACTGATGCCGATTTATAGTGCTAGCTCACTGAGATACCATGCCGCAGTTTAACATGAATACCCCACTCAGACACAGTATACTGACTCCGAGCCGACCAGTCCTTGTTTTAGCCCCTTAATGCAGAGCGCGAGGCAGGGTAACAACAAGTACCATCTTTTAACGTCTTTTGGTATGACACGGTCGGGTATCGAAACCCCGGACCTTCCGCTCTCCGGGCGGACGCTCTACCACTAGACCACGGAGGCGGTCCCAGTCAACAAGTAACAATACATCAGATAATACCTTATGTAAACTATTGTGATGAAATAAAGTTTAGATTTACCAATACAGATTTGTTATTGTCAGTCATGTTAATTGCTGAAGATGGAAAGCAACTGTTTTTGTTATATCTCAAATGTCCACAAAGTAATCCCTGAATAAATGTGCCACCACTCACCAGTGATGTGAAATATGTTGATTTCTTTTGGGTATTTGCTCAGAGATACTTCTCCTATATTTATAGGCAATTGATCGATATTAAGTTACCGAATACCGATCTCTATGATCTGTATCGATAGCCAGCCCTACTTGCGGAGTAAAAGAATTTTTCCAGCTGAAAGTTCGTGTACACTCCTTGATGTTTTTGTATGTGGTGTAGACGCTTACTCAGCTCCTAAAACCAGGGATGTGAGCAGGTTTTCCCAAAAAAAGAGGAAAAGTCTAGGGGAGTCTGGGGGCATGCCCCCCCAGAAATTGTTTAAACATTTGATTGCATTTTCAGCAATTTCGTGCAGTTTGGACAACATTCACACCAAGAAATGTAATGTCAATGGCAAAAGTCAATAAGTTAAATAAACAAGATGGCAGATGCAGTAAAATTTCGTAGTTAAATCAGTACTTTTAAAAAATCGGGCATAGCTTTCGCAAACCTGGCTACCCGCCAGGTCTGGGAGCAATACTGCCATAAACTTCAAAACATCTGTGTATTTACAATTTCTGTGTGACGCCACACCCCACGTTATAGTGCAAGTATTCGTGATAGAAAACGTATGATGTCCAAAAACGTATGCTGGTTAAAGCTCTGATCGAAAACAGGACAATCCGAGACGGTTGTCGATCATATATTTCAGTGTTTTTTTTTAAATTTTTGATTAAATTTTTACGGGGAAGATTATTTTTTCCGAGGACTACTGTTTAAAACAACGCGATTTTCCGCGTTTCCGCAGAGATTTCACATCCCTGTAAAACCCTGTACACCCCTCACATGTTTTGTTTGTTTGCTTGTTGTTTAACGGAGATTTCACATCCCTGTAAAACCCTGTACACCCCTCACATGTTTTGTTTGTTTGCTTGTTGTTTAACGGAGATTTCACATCCCTGTAAAACCCTGTACACCCCTCACATGTTTTGTTTGTTTGTTTGTTTGTTGTTGTTTAACGCCTCACTCAGCAATATTCTAGCTATATGACAGCGGTCGGGTGGTCAGGCTCACTGACTTGGTTGATGTATGTCATCGTATCGTCATTACATGGATCGATGCTCATGATATCAATCACTGGATTGTCGATTATTTACAGACCACCATCATATAGCTGATTATTGCCGAGTGTGGCGTTAAACAACAAACCAACCAACCAACCATCTCAGCTGTGCTCTACATGATCTTCTTCTACATACCTTTACAGGGGGGTAGTTGTCATCACTATCACTAATAAGGCCTGGGACGCCCTGAAACAACCAATACAAAATACTGTATATCGCCTTTTTATTGGGGGGGGGGGGGGGGGGGGGGGAAGAGAGAGAGAGAGAGAGAGAGAGAGAGAGAGAGAGAGAGAGCGGGGGGGGCATCTTATACACACAGTTGAAGAGTTTGGTGAGCCGACAGCGGGTAACCCCGGAAATACCATAATGAAGTATGCAAATTAACAATGAAATTACACTGGTTATAAAAAGTGTCCATTGTGTATCTAGACTGTTTGTAATCTATTTTATTAATTTTATTCAAAATTTCATTCAATATTGTTTACCTTCATTTCGGTGAAAGCGTCTGAGAAGAGATCGGTAGATCGCACAACTCACCTTCATTCCGATTCGCTTTATAGACAGGGTATATAAACTAGCATAGATTTTGCAGGCTTGTACAGGGGGGTCGCCTTATAGATGGGGTCGCTTTATAGACAGCGATATATGGTACAAAATTATTTTTCCAACTTTTGGAAGAAATCCTGGCAGAAACATTGTCGTGCTCATACTGGTGTCATGGTGAAGTGTGAGTGAGTGAGTTGGGTTTAACGCCGCTTTTAACAGTATTCCAGTTATATCACGGCATGTCAGCTTACTGTGGGAGGAAAGACCGATGTGATGCAGGTCTCAGATGTTTACCACTTCGGTGAAACCCACGAGCACGGGTATGGTGCTGACAAACCTAGAAACATAATCGGGGCAAACCGGGATTCGAACCCACAATCATAGGTTTCTGGCGTGCCCAAGGGACGCAACTCTGCACAGCGAATCGCTGCGCCTCCGACGACTGGGCCACCCGTGCCCCCTCATGGTGATGAAGTCTGATCACTCAATACTCATGCCTCTATCTGATGTTGCACTCTCTTAAGGAAGTAGGTAAGTAGCTACTTACATCTTCCTCGAGATCGCTGTCGTTGGAATCACTAACAAGATCGGGCAGACGCCTACAAGTGGCAAAAGAAATGTAATGGTGAATAGGCATGGTGCTGGAAAATACTCACAACTCACAACAAACTGTTTCATGAAATGTTGTCCATCACGTGACCCAACTACACACTGCATTCTGTCAAACTAACTCTTAATCAGGAATCCACAATTCAAAACTTAAAGCCATAAAATTAGTTATTACATGTATTTGGGGAAATTTATTATTCCAATTCGGGAATTATTAATAACACTTGCTGCAGTCTTGGGGCCAAGAAGCGTCAGAGAGACAGACATACCCACACCCACCCACCCACCCACCCATCCACATCCACATCCACACCCACATCCACACCCACACCCACACACACACACACACACACACAGACACACACGCTATTGACAGTGAGCGTCAATTTGATGTCCATCTGCAATATCTCAGCCATAGAGTGTACAGTCCAATACAATATAGGATATATCTTCACAACATACAAACCTTTGGAGCCAAATATTTTTATCAAGTTGACCAAGTCTTTGTTTCTCTGTAACAAAAAAAAGATACCTCATCAAAATCCAAGAAACCAAAAAAGGCCACAACTCAGGTAAATAGTGGGTTTGGTTTAACGCTACGTTGGACATCACAGTCCCTCCATGGTAGGTCCGTCAGCTCGATGTTGGAGCCAAGTCGTGCTGGTCTTAGAAAGTCCCCACTCTGGACCCACAAGCATACCAAGCAAGCAATCATGGCGAATCAGGGAGTCACACCAATGACAAAAGGTTTCAAGGATGCCTAGGGCACGCAACTCCGCACAATGAATTGTGGTGCCTTAGACGACAAGATCAGCCAAAACCTGTTCATCTGTCTGAGTAACCCTGAGTTTATCCTAACTAACAAGACTTGTCTCCCTACACTGTTACAACACCCACCTGTCTTGAAGCGCTCCCTCTGTTCATCTATCTGTCTCAGGTTGAGTTTGTCCTCGGTGCGCTGACAAGCTTGCCTCCCTATGTGGTTTATTTCTCTAGCCTTGTCCAGCATCCCCAGTTCGAAGTAAGCTTCAGCGTATCTGTAGTAACCCTGAAAAGAGGCTTGATCATGTAAATTGTTGTCTGGGAAACTCAAGCTAAAATTCAACAACATTCCCTTGAATTAATTACCCATACCACCCAGATTAAAAGCATTCCACCATGCAGAGATAATTCTAGGGTGGACCTTGTGCTCTTAGCCCCTAAATCTGAAAAAAGACGCACATTTTCAAACACAATGGACCATTTTAATATTGTTCTGTATGGGCAACCCTCTGGAAAGTTTGAGATTTGTAATTAAAGGGCCTATGTCAGAAAATTCCTAGATGAACCCTGAAAAGAGGCTTGATAATGTAAATTGTTGTTTAACACCAGGTGGAAACCTCAAGCTAAAGTTCAACAACATTCCCATGACTTAATTTGTTTGTTTGTTTGTTGTTTAACACCGCACTCAGCAATATTCCAGCTATAAGACAACAGTCTGTAAATAATCGAGTCTGGACCCGACAATCCAGTGATTGACACCATGAGCATCGATCCATGCAATTGGGATCGATGACATGCTTCAACCAAGTCAGCAGGGTGGCTGGTATTTCACTGAAGACGGTTGGTTGGTTTGTTGTTTTACGCCGCACTCAGTAATATTCCAGCTATATGACGGTGGTCTGTATATAATCTGTCTTGACCAGACAATCAAGTGACTAATATCATGAGCATCGATCTATGCAATTGGGATCGATGACATGCATTAACCAAGTCAGCGAGCCTGACCACCCGATCCCGTTAGTCGCCTCTTACGACAAGCATAGTCGCCTTTTACGGTAAGCAAGGGTTGCTGAAGACCTATTCTACCCCGGATCTTCACGGCACTTAATTACCCCCACCAACCCAGATTAAAAGTGTTGCACCATGCTCTGGGTTCTACTACACCAAATCAGAACCCGTTTGGACAGTGCGGTTTTCGTAGGGAGCCTTCAGTGCAGATCGAGAGATACCTGCAGGCTGTGATTTGAGGATATTCTGTAAGATTTTTATGTCTTTCAAATGTACATCCATCCAGTTATTAAAACTGACCATGTTTTTCTAAATTTAGTACTGTCTTTTTCAACATGATGACTTATGCTGAATGTGACCACAGCTATTTTCAAGTAGGTGACATTTGGTGCGAAACTGGGGGTGGTGTGTTTAGCTTCCTGTACCCCGAAAAGGAGCTGGCTAAGCTAGTCATTTTTTATTTTTTTATTGCTGCTCTAAGGCCAAACTGTGCACACACGTACAGGTAATAGCTGTTGAATGCTTAGTTACTATAGAAGTCTATGGGAAAACATTTGGTTGTGTGTAACCTCCAGGATGAGCTCACCTTTGCCCAGTCCTGGTCCAGTGTAATGGCACGCAGTCCGTCACAGAGAGCCTCCCTGGAACCCACAACAAGGAATGAGATTAAGGTATGAAAGCCAGTGTATGACTGAGTATGGTTTGATGCTACTTTTAGCAATATTCCTGCAATATCACGCCTGGTAACACCAGAAATGGGCTTCACACATTGTACCCATGTCGGGAATATATATATATGATGTTGAAAGCTCCAATCTCATTAAAATCAGATCTAAGTTCTCCCTGCCGCTTAACAAAGATCTGGGGACATCCCATTACGGGTCACGTCAGAACGACCTTTCGCGAACTTTGACCAACCACTGAAATGACAAACAAGAAGTGGACATCAGCCAATTAGAAAGCAGCTTTCTCGAGCTTTACGGCACTCGTTTCAACCTGGTGACTTCCATTTCAGGCGACACTTGAAAAATATGTTGCCACAGTTCTCGATTTAAATTTTGAAAACTGAACAAACGAACATTCCGGAATGTCTAACATATGGTTGAGATTGCATGGCAGTGCTACCCACATACTGTGCAGCGCCTCCTCCATTCAAATGTTTATCCCACGGAATCGAGAGATAGACGATTTTTTTTACGGAATCATTCGTACGGGCCGTAACTGTCGTTTAGAATACCCCGTTAACGTTTCCGAGGTTGCATGATTAGAAAACACATTCCAACTGTCACTTTCATTATCTGGTAAGCGACGCTTTGATTGGTCGGATGAAAGGTCGTTTTGACGGGACCCATAATGACAGGTCCTCAGATCTTTGTTTAGCGATAGCAAGAACTAAGATCTGATTTTATTGAGATTGCTGAAAACTCTGATCGAAAACAGGATTTCTTTTTAAATCTTTGACAGTATATTTGGATATAAATGGATGGAATTTGTTATCAAGTAAAAAGAAACAACAATATCAGTTTTGAAACATTTACTGCAATCAACACAAATGTCATTGACCCACTTTTACAAATATGGAAACGTCATAGAACAAACCAGATGACGTCACTATTGAATGTGACGTCACCTTTCCCTATACCTATGACTTCACCTAACAACAGGTGTAGCAATGGTCCGTTGTCAAGCAATATGAAGGCATTTACAGTGGCCCGCTCATTTCTGATAACATGTGGTCGGTTTAATGATAATTCTATCCATTTTAGCTACAAAACTATATACCCCTGCCCTTTCAGGTATAAATACTGGGTTTTGTACACGCACACTTACCGGAACTTTTTTAATTTGAGATATGCTTGAGATCTGTTGCCAAAGAAGATGTGGCTCAGAGGACTGAAATAAAGTCACACGTTCATGTTAGCTTCCTTCTCATAAAGATAAACCGCATTCGCCATAAAACATGCCCGGCTCCAATAGGCACCACGGACAAGCTACGGGGCCATTCTGTTAGTACCGTATTTGACGGAATAAGAGCCCAGGGGGCTCTAAAAATTAGAATATTATTTGGGTGAAAAAAAAAACGTATTTGAAAGATAAATTTCGTGGTTTATGCTGACAGCCTGAAATGTTTGTATACCATATGGTTTTCAAGAATTTAATATTGGCTTGACTTCTTGATGATTAACGCTGCACTTAGCAATATTACAGCCATACGGCAGTCTGTCTGAACCAGACAATCCAGTGATTGACCTCATGAGCATTGATCCACGCAATCTGGATCGATGACATGATCAACCAAGTCAGCGAGCCTGAACACCCGATCCCGTTAGTCGCCTTTTACGACAAGCATAGTTGCCTTTTATGGCAAGCATGGGTTGCTGAAGACCTCTTCTAAACCCCCCCCCACCCCCCGCCCAATGTAAGGAACTCCTTGTACCCTTTAGTGAGAGAGTGACTGGACTTACTCCTTCCTGATAGCCTGTGTGTACCATCTGACTGCCAGGTCAAACTTGTTCTCCTTGAAGGCCTTGTTCCCCTTCTCCTTGGACTGCTCCGCATCATCGGAAGACTGAACACGGAGAGGTGAGGCAGGTGAAACGGAGGTGACAAGATTGTTGTGTGGCGTGGCGTGGCGTGGCGGTGGTGTGTTGTGTGGCATGGCGGTGTTGTGTGGTGTCGAGTGGTGGTGGTGTGTTGTGTGTTGTGCGGTGGTGTGTTGTGTGCGATGGTGTGTTGTGTGTTGTGGTGTGTTGTGTGTTGTGGTGGTGGTGTGTTGTGTGGCGTGGTGTGTGTGTGTTGTGTGGCGTGGCGGTGGTGTGTTGTGTGGCGTGGCGGTGGTGTGTTGTGTGGCGTGGCGGTGGTGTGTTGTGTGGCTTGGCGGTGGTGTGTTGTGTGGCTTGGCGGTGGTGTGGTGTGTTGTGTGGCGTGGTGGTGGTGTGTCGGTGATGTGTTGTGTGGTGTGGTGTGGTGTGGCGGTGTTGTGTTGTGTGGCATGGCGGTGGTGTGTGGTGTCGAGTGGTGGCGGTGTGTTGTGTTGTGTGGCGTGGCGGTGTCGTGTGGGGGTGCTGTGTTGTGTGGCATGGCGGTGGTGTGTGGTGTCGAGTGGTGGTGGTGTGTTGTGTGGCGTGGCGGTGATGTGTTGTGTGGCGTGGCAGTGATGTGTTGTGTGGTGTAATCTGATCGTTTGATACATGGATCTAAATAGTTTTGGCCAGGGCTGCGGGAAAACAATTCCCAATCAGCATGATCAGATATTTCGCTCACAACTCTTGAGACCTGCAGTGGGTACCTGGGTAGGGTCGGGTATATGGGGGTTCGGATACTGAGGTAGTAAATTTGGACTCATCCCAGCCCCTAGCAGTATGACCATCCCATATTTTCCCAAACTATCCTTTTTTCACCCAACATAAAAATAAATGTCATGAATTATTCCTGGTGTCAGACACACATATCATGCATATCTCTCACTGTTTGTTTGTTTGTTGTTTAACGCCGCACTCAGCAATATTTCAGCTATATGACGGCGGTCTGTAAAAATCGAGTCTGGACCAGACAATCCAGTGATTGACATCATGAGCATCGATCCACGCAATTGGGATCGATGACATGCATCAACCAAGTCAGCGAGCCTGACCACCCGATCCCGTTAGTCGCCTTTCACGACACCAAAGTCACCTTTTACGGCAAGCATGGGTTGCTGAAGACCTATTCTACCCGGAATCTTCACGGGTTGTCACATGTAATATGTAAATGTCATTTTGTACAAATTCAAGGCTTTTAAGCTATTTTGGTGATTTTCAAGGCTTTTCAAGGTTGGCACTGAAAATCAAGGCTTTCCAAAAAGGACCTTGAAATTCAAGGCTTTTCCAAGTCTGTATGAACCAGAGCTCCAGATAAGCTTTTGGTGTTGTGGGTATTTTACCCATGCATTTTAAAATCATTGGGTATCAGTAATTCTATCTGGGTATTCAAATTTTTGTTACCCGATAGTTTTAACACATGTGGGTATTTAAGTTAAATATTTAAAAACACTATTCATCTAGTCCCTGCAAACTGGTGTCGTGTGGGTTCGAGAGCTTTATATGACTCAAAAATACCACGAAACTTCCACAAGAAAGTGTGATGGCAAATGATCATGATGTAACTGTCATCATGAAGATTGGCAAGGTTGACAGAATGTCTGTTTATAATTTCAAAATAAGTCGCTGATTTGCTAATCGAAAAGCAGAGTAACTTCACAATATTTTGATGATAAGCACAAGTTTTATTTTTGTAGTGAATCTGTAATGTTCGCTGCGTATTTGATACGTTTGGATTTTATTTTACTGCGTATTTCTGCATTTTTGATGCGTATTTTAAGCAGATACGCAGCTTATCTGGAGCTCTGATGAACCCTGAACCACTAAACCCTTGATAGGGATCTAAACATACACTTTACATAGCATGAGATTCATGTCATGGAGAGACAAAAATATCCCTCTTAAAAGTGGAGCACTATACATTACGAAGGGTTATAACCCTTGCGTTTCAGTATTGCAAATGTCCACTATTAGAAGTATAGCTATGATCTAGTCACAGACCTTGTTGGAGCTCCAGAGGGCCTTGATTTCGTTTTCAATCAGTTTCCCGTCTCGGCCGTATCCCAGGACATGGTAGTGAACTGAAGCAGTAGACAACAGTGTCAGCGTCATCATGTTGTGCAGACATATATAGCACAACAAATACACTACCTAAAGCATGCTCAAAGTGCCACATTATAACCCAGGTCAATAGAACAGTGTGGACACGACTCTCTTTCTCAGCACCCTGACCCACATAAACCAAGTCAGCTGGCACGATCTCGCCAGTTGCCTCTTACAAGTATAGTCCTCTCCTACGACATGTACAGTCCTCTCTTACGACTTGTATAGTCCTCTTTCGACAAGTATAGTCACCTCTTACGACAAGTACAGTCCTCTCTTACGACAAGTACAGTCCTCTCTTACGACAAGTATAGTCCTCTTATGACAAGTTTAGTCCTCTCTTACGACATGTACAGTCCTCTCTAGCGACAAGTATAGTCCTCTCTTACGACAAGTATAGTCCTCTCTTACAACAAGTACAGTCTTCTCTTACGACAAGTATAGTCCTCTCTTACGACAAGTAGTCCTCTCTTACAACAAGTATAGTCCTCTCTTACGACAAGTACAGTCCTCTCTTACAACAAGTACAGTCCTCTTTTACAACAAGTACAGTCCTCTCTTACAACAAGTACAGTCCTCTCTTACAACAAGTACAGTCCTCTCTTACAACAAGTACAGTCCTCTCTTACAACAAGTATAGTCCTCTCTTACGACAAGTATAGTCCTCTCTTACGACAAACACAGTCCTCTCTTACAACAAGTATAGTCCTCTCTTACGACAAGTACAGTCCTCTCTTACGCTAAGTATAGTCCTCTTATGACAAGTATAGTGACCTCTTACAACAAGTATAGTCACCTCTTACGACAAGTATAGTCCTCTTTTACGACATATACAGTCCCCTCTAGGGACAAGTATAGTCCTCTCTTACGACATGTACAGTCCCCTCTAGCGACAAGTATAGTCCTCTCTTACGACAAACACAGTCACCTCTTACAACAAGTATAGTCCTCTCTTACGACATGTACAGTCCTCTCTTACGACAAGTATAGTCCTCTTATGACAAGTATAGTGACCTCTTACAACAAGTATAGTCACCTTTTACGACATGTACTGTCCTCTCTGATATTGGTAAAGTTAATCTGTCATGGCATGAGAGATTAACTATAGTAATATGAAAGAATCAGGTGATCCTTAACTTTTTTTGAGTAGTATACAAGGGGTCATTTTAACGCTGTGCTGTATGGGCAAGTGTGGTGTACCTCTGGAATATTTGAAATTTTGACATAAAGTTCGGATGTCAGAACATTCCTAGAGAGAGCCCTGATAGAGCCTGTGGCAGCCAGCTGTTGGGCATACTCACAATTCTTAAAGACGTAGAGAATACAAAACTGTGCAGCTTGGGGGTTCTTCTTCATCCTCGTCTTGACAGATATATCATTCCTGAAATCACAAAAGTTATCACTGTAACCTCACATCACATCAACAACACGTCGGAAACATACAGCAGTCAGACCATCACATCACACACAGCAGGCAGTCAGACCATCACATCACATACAGCAGGCAGGCAGACCATCACATCACATACAGCAGGCAGTCAGACCATCACATCACACACAGCAGGCAGTCAGACCATCACATCACATACAGCAGGCAGTCAGACCATCACATCACACACAGCAGGCAGTCAGACCATCACATCACATACAGCAGGCAGTCAGACCATCACATCACACACAGCAGGCAGTCAGACCATCACATCACATACAGCAGGCAGGCAGACCATCACATCACACACAGCAGGCAGTCAGACCATCACATCACATACAGCAGGCAGTCAGACCATCACATCACATCACATACAGCAGGCAGTCAGACCATCACATCACATACAGCAGGCAGGCAGACCATCACATCACACACAGCAGGCAGTCAGACCATCACATCACACACAGCAGGCAGGCAGACCATCACATCACATCACATACAGCAGGCAGTCAGACCATCACATCACATACAGCAGGCAGTCAGACAATCACATCACATACTGCAGGCAGTCAGACCATCACATCACATACTGCAGGCAGTCAGACCATCACATCACACACAGCAGGCAGGCAGACCATCACATCACATCACATACAGCAGGCAGTCAGACCATCACATCACATACAGCAGGCAGTCAGACAATCACATCACACACAGGAGGCAGTCAGACCATCACATCACACACAGCAGGCAGTCAGACCATCACATCACATACAGCAGGCAGGCAGACCATCACATCACATACAGCAGGCTGTCAGACCATCACATCACATACAGCAGGCAGTCAGACCATCACATCACATACAGCAGGCAGTCAGACCATCACATCACATCACATACAGCAGGCAATCAGACCATCACATCACATCACATACAGCAGGCAGTCAGACCATCACATCACATACAGCAGGCAGTCAGACCATCACATCACATACAGCAGGCAGTCAGACCATCACATCACACACAGGAGGCAGTCAGACCATCACATCACACACAGCAGGCAGTCAGACCATCACATCACATCACACACAGCAGGCAGTCAGACCATCACATCACACACAGCAGGCAGTCAGACCATCACATCACATCACATACAGCAGGCAGTCAGACCATCACATCACACACAGCAGGCAGTCAGACCATCACATCACATACAGCAGGCAGTCAGACCATCACATCACATACAGCAGGCAGTCAGACCATCACATCACACACAGCAGGCAGTCAGACCATCACATCACATACAGCAGGCAGTCAGACCATCACATCACATACAGCAGGCAATCAGACCATCACATCACATCACATACAGCAGGCAGTCAGACCATCACATCACATACAGCAGGCAGTCAGACCATCACATCACATAAAGCAGGCAGTCAGACCATCACATCACATACAGCAGGCAATCAGACCATCACATCACATCACATACAGCAGGCAGTCAGACCATCACATCACATACAGCAGGCAGTCAGACCATCACATCACATCACATACAGCAGGCAGTCAGACCATCACATCACATACAGCAGGCAGGCAGACCATCACATCACATACAGCAGGCAGGCAGACCATCACATCACACACAGCAGGCAGTCAGACCATCACATCACACACAGCAGGCAGGCAGACCATCACATCACATCACATACAGCAGGCAGTCAGACCATCACATCACATACAGCAGGCAGTCAGACAATCACATCACACACAGGAGGCAGTCAGACCATCACATCACACACAGCAGGCAGTCAGACCATCACATCACATACAGCAGGCAGGCAGACCATCACATCACATACAGCAGGCTGTCAGACCATCACATCACATACAGCAGGCAGTCAGACCATCACATCACATACAGCAGGCAGTCAGACCATCACATCACATCACATACAGCAGGCAATCAGACCATCACATCACATCACATACAGCAGGCAGTCAGACCATCACATCACATACAGCAGGCAGTCAGACCATCACATCACATACAGCAGGCAGTCAGACCATCACATCACACACAGGAGGCAGTCAGACCATCACATCACACACAGCAGGCAGTCAGACCATCACATCACATCACACACAGCAGGCAGTCAGACCATCACATCACACACAGCAGGCAGTCAGACCATCACATCACATCACATACAGCAGGCAGTCAGACCATCACATCACACACAGCAGGCAGTCAGACCATCACATCACATACAGCAGGCAGTCAGACCATCACATCACATACAGCAGGCAATCAGACCATCACATCACATCACATACAGCAGGCAGTCAGACCATCACATCACATACAGCAGGCAGTCAGACCATCACATCACATAAAGCAGGCAGTCAGACCATCACATCACATACAGCAGGCAATCAGACCATCACATCACATCACATACAGCAGGCAGTCAGACCATCACATCACATACAGCAGGCAGTCAGACCATCACATCACATCACATACAGCAGGCAGTCAGACCATCACATCACATACAGCAGGCAGGCAGACCATCACATCACATACAGCAGGCAGGCAGACCATCACATCACACACAGCAGGCAGTCAGACCATCACATCACACACAGCAGGCAGGCAGACCATCACATCACATCACATACAGCAGGCAGTCAGACCATCACATCACACACAGCAGGCAGTCAGACCATCACATCACATACAGCAGGCAGTCAGACCATCACATCACACACAGCAGGCAGTCAGACCATCACATCACATACAGCAGGCAGGCAGACCATCACATCACACACAGCAGGCAGTCAGACCATCACATCACATACAGCAGGCAGTCAGACCATCACATCACATCACATACAGCAGGCAGTCAGACCATCACATCACATACAGCAGGCAGGCAGACCATCACATCACACACAGCAGGCAGTCAGACCATCACATCACACACAGCAGGCAGGCAGACCATCACATCACATCACATACAGCAGGCAGTCAGACCATCACATCACATACAGCAGGCAGTCAGACCATCACATCACATCACACACAGCAGACAGTCAGACCATCACATCACATACAGCAGGCAGTCAGACCATCACATCACATACAGCAGGCAGTCAGACCATCACATCACATCACATACAGCAGGCAGTCAGACCATCACATCACACACAGCAGGCAGTCAGACCATCACATCACACACAGCAGGCAGTCAGACCATCACATCACATACAGGAGGCAATGAGACCATCACATCACATCACATACAGCAGGCAGTCAGACCATCACATCACATAAAGCAGGCAGTCAGACCATCACATCACATACAGCAGGCAGGCAGACCATCACATCACATACAGCAGGCAGTCAGACCATCACATCACATACAGCAGGCAATCAGACCATCACATCACATCACATACAGCAGGCAGTCAGACCATCACATCATACACAGCAGGCAGTCAGACCATCACATCACACACAGCAGGCAGTCAGACCATCACATCACATACAGCAGGCAGTCAGACCATCACATCTCCCACAGCAGGCAGTCAGACCATCACATCACACACAGCAGACAGTCAGACCATCACATCACATACAGCAGGCAGTCAGACCATCACATCACATACAGCAGGCAGTCAGACCATCACATACAGCAGGCAGTCAGACCATCACATCACACACAGCAGGCAGGCAGGCAGGCAGGCAGGCAGGCAGACCATCACCATCTGTGAGTGTGTGTGTGAGTGAGTGCATGTATGAATGTGTGTCTGTGTTTGAGTGTTAGTGTGCATTTGTCTGTCTGCCTGTGTACGTGTGCATTTGTCTGTCGGTCTGTCTGTCTGTGTGTGTGCCTCTGTGTGTGCCATTCGGGTCCATATTTAAAGTGTTACTTTCATAAGAGAGGTCCAGAGGTCAATGGAGCATTTGGTCCCTCATCAAAGTAGGGCTAGGATGTCATTGTACTGGTGCTGATATACACAACACTCACAAACAATCCAGCAACACGAGGCAGGCTTTGAATAATGGAGCCTGACTAACAATCAAGCTAGTTACACAGTCTGACCACATGATCCATTAAGTTGCTTCTTACGAATAACAAAGTTATGACAAGGGTCCCTTGTCTGTCTTCTGTTGTTTGTTTGTTGTTTAACGCCGCACTCAGCAATATTACAGCTTTATGATGGCGGTCTGTAAGCATTCGAGTCTGGACCAGGCAATCCAGTGATTGACATCATGAGCATCAATCCACACAATTGGGATAAGATGACATGTATCAACCAAGTCTGCGAGTCTGACCAGCCAATCCTGTGAGTCGCCTTTTATGGCAAGCATGGGTTGCTGAAGACCTATTCTAACCCGGATCTATGCAGGTTGTCTGACTTGTATAATATAAACACTGCCTGAGAAGGCCAAAAACTCACCATAGATTCTGAAAAGTCTTAAACTCCTGCGCCTTCTCTATTGCCCTTTTGACATCTATAGTATCGTTTGAAAGCAAAGCCTGCTTTTCAATTTCATCCACTGCGTCCAGCGCACACTTTAAGTGTTCACGGCTTTTCTGTAAAGACAAATCAGGGCTGGATTTAAGGACCTTGGTTGAACTTGACCCAGGTGCTTGTTGGCAGGAAAACCATGCTGTTCCAAGATAAAACCTTGTTGTTCCAAGACAAAACCATGTTGTTCCAAGATAAAACCATGTTGTTCCAAGATAAAACCATGTTGTACCAAGATAAAACCATGTTGTTCCTAGATAAAACAATGTTGTACCAAGATAAAACCATGTTGTTTCAAGATGAAACCATGTTGTTCCAAGATAAAACCATGTTGTACTAAGATAAAACCATGTTGTTCCTAGATAAAACCATGTTGTTCCAAGATAAAACAATGTTGTACCAAGATAAAACCATGTTGTTCCAAGATAAAACCATGTTGTGTCAAGATAAAACAATGTTGTTCCAAGATAAAACAATGTTGTTCCTAGATAAAACCATGTTGTTCCTAGATAAAACCATGTTGTTCCAAGATAAAACCCTGTACCAAGATAAAACCATGTTGTTCCTAGATAAAACCGTGTTGTTCCAAGATAAAACAATGTTGTACCAAGATAAAACCATGTTGTGTCAAGATAAAACAATGTTGTTCCAAGATAAAACCATGTTGTTCCTAGATAAAACCATGTTGTTCCTAGATAAAACCATGTTGTTCCAAGATAAAACTATGTTGTTCCAAGATAAAACAATGTTGTTCCAAGATAAAACCATGTTGTACCAAGATAAAACCATGTTGTTCCTAGATAAAACCATGCTGTTCCTAGATAAAACCATGTTGTTCAAAGATAAAACCATGTTGTTCCTAGATAAAACCATGTTGTTCCTAGATAAAACCATGTTGCACCCTGGTCCCATAAACTTATCAAACTTAGCATAGGTTGGTCTGCTGCCACATATATATTAATGACACATTGCTGTAAAACGTAATGGGAACGTGCACAAAATCGTCAAGCACTCACAATTTGATGACGCGAAGCCTACGAAAGCATGACAAAATACGTGCAACACAGTGATTAGGGATATAGTGTGGTAAATAAACTTTAGAGGTATTGTTTGTTTGTTGTTTAACGCCACACTCAGCAATATTCCAGCCAGTGAGGACAGTCTGTAAATAATCACGTCTGGGCCAGATAATCCAGTGATTGACATCATGAGCATCAATCCACGTAATGTAGGTATGATGACAAGAATGATTGTCTTCCGCCTTGTATAAAAGCTAAGTATGGAATGATGACTTAAATAAACAAAATAACGTTCAGCTTTAAACTAAACATGCAGAACTAATTCTGTTTGTTGTTTGACGCTGCATTCTGACATACTCCAGCTATACGACTGAAGTAAGGATTCAAATAATGATGACATCATGAGAATCTATCTACATGATCTATGCAATTTGGATACAATGTCATGCATTAACCACGTCAGCGAGTCTGACCAATCTGTAAAGTTTAGGGGTGGAGTTGAGGTGGTGTAAAAATGGTGTTTAATTTCGCTTCCAAGATTATTGCACTAATATAGAGACACACACGTACGTGTCTGTCTGTCTCGGTCCGTGTATGCGTGATTGTATTAATCTGGACCAATGCCGATTTTATAGTGCTAGTCCACTGAGACACCATGCTGCAGTTCATGAATACTGACTCCGAGCCGGCCAGTCCTTGTTTAAGCCCCTTAATGCCGAGTGCCAGGCAGGGTAGTAACAAGTTACATTTTCTGGAATGACAAGGCTGAGGATCGAACCCCTTACCTTCCGCTCTCCGGACGGAACCTCTTTGACCAGACCACAGAGGTGGTCGGGGTGTGGTTGAAGAAAATATCTCTGTGTAGAGATGAAAACCAATTCTAACCAGGATCTTCACCCATTAAAATCAACCAGACAAATTCCACATATTGCAGTGCTATGGATTAGATGATTCAGCAAGTTCCCCTTGAGGGGAAGAGAGCTGAAGAGAGCCCTACCATTTTGGGGTTTGCGTGATTGAAAACTTCTGTCAACATATCTGTCATCTCCCATTCTTCCTTCGACAGGGGCGTAACATCCTTCTCTCTGCAATTTAATAGAGGGTCACAATCAGTTGAGTGAGTGAGTTGGGTTTAACGCCTCTTTTAACAGTATTCCAGTTATATCGCGGCCCTGTCAGCTGAATGTGGGAGGGTATGGTGCTGACAAACCTAGAAACATAATCAGGGCGAACCGGGATTCGAACCCACAATCATAGGTTTCTTGCGTGGCCAAGGGACGCAACTCTGCACAGTGAATCGCGGCGCCTTAGACGACTGGGCCACCCGTGCCCCCACAAATCAGTTGAAATTTAATCATTGATCATCAATCACAAGTCATAATCCAGTGTTTGTATTATCTGTATTTCAAGAAACTTTTTGTCAAAAGATATGAAAGATATTTTAAGGGTTGCAGTCAGAATTTCAAAAGACTCACCCCTGACTTACTGGCTGTCTGCTTTCAGCTACATAACGTGCCATGTAAAGTCAGGACCAGACGAACCAGTGGTTGATATCATGAGCAAACATGGCCAGGGTACGTAGACACACCATCAACTAAGAGCCCGAGCCTGGTGCAAGGCTGGCGTTACCTGTTTTTGGTGAGTAGCACGTGACTGTGGTGCAAGGCTGGCGTTACCTGTTTTTGGTGAGTAGCACGTGACAGGGTGCAAGGCTGGGGTAACCTGTTTTTGGTGAGTAGCACGTGACGGGGTGCAAGGCTGGCGTTACCTGTTTTTGGTGAGTAACATGTGACTGTGATGCAGAGCTGGCGTTACCTGTTTTTGGTGAGTAACACGTGACTGTGGTGCAAGGCAGGCGTTACCTGTTTTTGGTGAGTAACACGTGACTGTGGTGCAAGGCTGGCGTTACCTGTTTTTGGTGAGTAGCACGTGACTGTGGTGCAAGGGTGGCGTTACCTGTTTTTGGTGAGTAGCACGTGACTGTGGTACAAGGCTGGCGTTACCTGTTTTTGGTGAGTAGCACGTGACTGTGGTACAAGGCTGGCGTTACCTGTTTTTGGTGAGTAGCACGTGACTGTGGTGCAAGGCTGGCGTTACCTGTTTTTGGTGAGTAGCACGTGACTGTGGTGCAAGGCAGGCGTTACCTGTTTTTGGTGAGTAACACGTGACTATGGTGCAGGGAAGGCGTTACCTGTTTTTGGTGAGTAGCACGTGACTGTGATGCAGGGAAGGCGTTACCTGTTTTTGGTGAGTAGCATGTGACTGTGATGCAGGGCTGGCGTTACCTGTTTTTGGTGAGTAGCACGTGACTGTGATGCAGGGCTGGTGTTACCTGTTTTTGGTGAGTAGCATGTGACTGTGATGCAGGGCTGGCGTTACCTGTTTTTGGTGAGTAGCACGTGACTGTGGTGCAAGGCAGGCGTTACCTGTTTTTGGTGAGTAACACGTGACTGTGGTGCAAGGGTGGCGTTACCTGTTTTTGGTGAGTAGCATGTGACTGTGATGCAGGGCTGGCGTTACCTGTTTTTGGTGAGTAGCACGTGACTGTGATGCAGGGCTGGTGTTACCTGTTTTTGGTGAGTAGCATGTGACTGTGGTGCAAGGCTGGCGTTACCTGTTTTTGGTGAGTAGCACGTGACTGTGGTGCAAGGCTCGCGTTACCTGTTTTTGGTGAGTAGCACGTGACTGTGGTGCAAGGCAGGCGTTACCTGTTTTTGGTGAGTAGCATGTGACTGTGGTGCAAGGCTGGCGTTACCTGTTTTTGGTGAGTAGCACGTGACTGTGGTGCAAGGCTGGCGTTACCTGTTTTTGGTGAGTAGCACGTGACTGTGGTGCAAGGCTGGCGTTACCTGTTTTTGGTGAGTAGCACGTGACTGTGGTGCAAGGCAGGCGTTACCTGTTTTTGGTGAGTAGCACGTGACTGTGGTGCAAGGCAGGCGTTACCTGTTTTTGGTGAGTAGCACGTGACGGGGTGCAAGGCAGGCGTTACCTGTTTTTGGTGAGTAGCACGTGACTGTGGTGCAAGGCTGGCGTTACCTGTTTTTAGTGAGTAGCACGTGACTGTGGTGCAAGGCTGGCGTTACCTGTTTTTGGTGAGTAGCACGTGACTGTGGTGCAAGGCAGGCGTTACCTGTTTTTGGTGAGTAGCACGTGACTGTGGTGCAAGGCAGGCGTTACCTGTTTTTGGTGAGTAGCACGTGACTGTGGTGCAAGGCTGGCGTTACCTGTTTTTGGTGAGTAGCACGTGACTGTGGTGCAAGGGTGGCGTTACCTGTTTTTAGTGAGTAGCACGTGACTGTGGTGCAAGGCTGGCGTTACCTGTTTTTGGTGAGTAGCACATGACTGTGGTGCAGGGCTGGCGTTACCTGTTTTTAGTGAGTAGCACATGACTGTGGTGCAAGGCTGGCGTTACCTGTTTTTGGTGAGTAGCACATGACTGTGGTGCAAGGCAGGCATTACCTGTTTTTGGTGAGTAACACGTGACTGTGGTGCAAGGCAGGCGTTACCTGTTTTTAGTGAGTAGCACGTGACTGTGGTGCAGGGCGCTGATCCACATTTTGGGCACATTGTTGGAGAAGCCAAAGAGCAGTGGGCCATAGGTGCACTTCCTGATGCTGTGGTGATGTTCAACAAGATGTTTCTTCCGACTCGTCAACCAAGCCATAACATAGTCAACTGAAATAAATTAATAATTATAATAATAATTTTAATGATAATAATAATAATAATAATGATGATAATAATAATAATAATAATAATAATACAATCCACATATGTAGCGAATGACTCCACACGCAGTGTACGCTTGAAGCGCATGTCAAACTTGTCAGCCTGACAGTTCTAACCTTCAATGTTGAAGTTCATAACTTGAACGAAACACGCTGCTAGTACAACTTAATGTTTACTCATTCAATAAGTATGCACGGATGCACGTTCCAGCTGCATGCTCTCCGGCAGTGATGACTTGGCATGACACCACTGCCCGACATTTTTTCCGTTTGTAAACAAACCTGGTTATTCTGAAAATCAGAGCAGACTGGCCAACTTTGGTTGGTTGGTTTGTTGTCACAAAAAAATGAAGCAACTATTTGGCCCAAGCTAAATATAAGTTTCACTCAAGGGACAGACACATCATATCGCATGGAATGTTTGTTTGTTGTTTAACGCCGCACTTAGCAATATTCCACCTATATGACGGCGGTCTAAATAATCGAGTCTGGACCAGACAATCCAGTGATTAAGTTCATGAGCATCGATCCACGCAATTGGGATCGATGATATGCATCAACCAAGTCAGCAAGCCTGACCACCCGATCCTGTTAGTCGCCTCTTACGACAAGCTTAGTTACCTTTTACGGCAAGCATGGGTTGCTGAAGACCTACAGTCAAGAGTTGAATGTTCTTTAAGAAGCATACATTGTTTATCAACAAAAGATCCACCATGGTCGCATCCATATGAAATGGAAAGTAAAAAGTGTGTTTCTGTGGGTTTTTTTTATGCAAACAAATGACAAATTACAAGAAACAAGCGTATAGTCAAGGAAGTCATCTATATCCCCCACCCATTTTAACACGTTATGGTCCCAAACCAGGTAACTGACCCAACATTTCTCTTAGCCCATGTCGAAATAGCTGCAATGAACATGATGAAAATTCTATAATAAACATTTCTAAAACTCCTTATATCAAATGGCACCAGTTCAGTATGTACATTATATATAGACATGCAATGTTTGGCAAGGAAATATTTAACAGTATATTTGTTATACTCCATAAGTGAACCCACCCTATATGAAAACTTAAATCCAACTTGTTGCCATCATGGCCATGGAAACGTCAAAAAGTAAAAATTTATAAAATTCCTAAATAGCAAAAGGCACCAGTTCAGCATGAGTCTGATAGACATGCAAAGTTTTGTAAGAAAGTATTTAACGGTTTTTGAGTTATGCTCCGGAAACGAACACCACCCTTATAAAACCTAAGTCAAACTTGTTACCATGGAAACATAAAAAATATAAAAAATTCTAAAATTCCTAAATAGCAAAAGGCACAACTTCAGTATGTGACTGATAGATATGCCAAGTTTCGATCAAATATACTGAATTGTTTTCAGGAAAAGGAAATGATTACGGACCGGACAGACGGATGGACGGATGGATGGACAGACTGGCTGATCGCTATATCACCCCGCATTATATGCCGGAGGGATAATAATAAACACATGACAAAAATTGCTATTTGAAATCACCTGATATACCGAGCATTGAAAAATGATGTTGTGATGTTGGAAAGATTGAACCTCAATTTACTGATATACCGGTAATACCACACACCCTGAGGTTGTGATATCTATCATGGATGTACGAACCTCAATTTACTGATATACCGGTAATACCACACACCCTGAGGTTGTGATATCTATCATGGATGTACGAACCTCAATTTACTGATATACCGGTAATACCACACACCCTGAGGTTGTGATACGTATCATGGATGTACGAAACTCAATTTACTGATATACCGGTAATACCACACACCCTGAGGTTGTGATATCTATCATGGATGTACGAACCTCAATTTACTGATATACCGGTAATACCACACACCCTGAGGTTGTGATATCTATCATGGATGTACGAACCTCAATTTACTGATATACCGGTAATACCACACACCCTGAGGTTGTGATATCTATCATGGATGTACGAACCTCAATTTACTGATATACCGGTAATACCACACACCCTGAGGTTGTGATATCTATCATGGATGTACGAACCTCAATTTACTGATATACCGGTAATACCACACACCCTGAGGTTGTGATATCTATCATGGATGTACGAACCTCAATTTACTGATATACCGGTAATACCACACACCCTGAGGTTGTGATACGTATCATGGATGTACGAAACTCAATTTACTGATATACCGGTAATACCACACACCCTGAGGTTGTGATATGTATCATGGATGTACTAACCTCAATTTACCGATATACCGTTAATACCACACACCCTGAGGTTGTGATATCTATAATGGATGTACGAACCTCAATTTACTGATATACCGGTAATACCACACACCCTGAGGTTGTGATACGTATCATGGATGTACGAACCTCAATTTACTGATATACCGGTAATACCACACACCCTGAGGTTGTGATATCTATCATGGATGTACGAACCTCAATTTACTGATATACCGGTAATCATGGTAATACCACACACCCTGAGGTTGTGATATCTATCATGGATGTATGAACCTCAATTTACTGATATACCGGTAATACCACACACCCTGAGGTTGTGATAAGATACATATCCTGATATTATGTTTGTTTGTTGTTTTACGCCGCACTCAGCAATATTCCACCTATATGACGGCGGTCTGTAAATAATCATGTCTGGACCAGACAATCCAGTGATTGATATCATGAGCATCAATCGATGCTCATGACAATCGATGACATGCATCAACAAAGTCAGCAAGCCTGACCACCCTATCCCGTTAGTCGCCTATTACGACAAGCATAGTTGCCGAAGACCTATTCTACCCCGGATCTTCAAGGGTCAAGGCCCAGTGGATTAACGAGCAATGATTAGAAAACAACTCACGATTGGTGGCCAACTTGGTGACTTCCTCTCCCTCCGAGGAGTCAACCAATTCCGGCATATCGTCCATGTCGCTCATTTCGCTGCTAGACGGATAATGCTCTTCCCTATCAGCTAATCTGGAAAAATGGTAAAGAAATCAGTGTTCATTCCAGCGTTAAAAGTACATTCCATCAACTTGGAAACAACCGAACTGTAATAGTGTTTTACCAGCGTTAGAGTGAGTGAGCGAGTATGGTTTTACGCCACTTTTAGCAATATTCCAGCAATATCACGGCGGGGGACACCAGAAATGGGCTTCACACATTGTACCCATGTCGGGAATCAAACCCAGGTCTTCGGCGTGATGAGCGAACGCTTTAACCACTAGGCTACCCGACCGCCCCTACCAGCATTAGAAATCGGCACTAGTCCTGTAGTCCTTGCCAAATTGCCCAATAGTTAAGGTATCATAAGGACTAGTAGACTTTAGCCATTATTAAGGGGTTTTGTTATATGTTATCATCATAAGGACTAGTGGACTAAAACTGTTAGTTTTTAACGCTGGTTTTACATAGAGTGCCATGGCCCATTGAAAAGGCTAAAATGGCTGCATTTGGAAATGGAGAAAATAAAGCATGGTCTTGCAACGTTCCAAATGACCAACACAATGATTAGCAACATTTTTTTCTCAATTTGGACAAATTCAAACATAAGCATTTGTATGGATCTCTCAACATATTGGCGATGAAAATCTCTTTTTGCTAAAAATAAAACAAAGGCTGAGTGATATGTATTCTCAAGAGTGGCATGACTCTATTTCTTCATCAAAATATCTGTCACATTATGCAAATTTGAAATCACTTTTACAGCCAGAATTTTACATCAGTAATCTCACGAATAAATCACTCAGGAGAGCATTTTGTAAATTCAGAATATCGCTACACGGTTTTAAGATTAACATGCTACGAAAGTCAAAACATACAAATGAAGACTTGAGTCTATATCTATGTACCCACTGTAAAGGGAGGCAATTAGAGGATGAATTTCATGTTTTCTTTATATGTTCAAAATATTCTTCTGTCAGAAACCACTATTTGCCTTGGTTATCCAATGTCCATCATGATAATCACAGTTTATGTAATCTACTCAACTCCAAAAATATCAACATTGTAAAGGCTTTGTCCTTATACTTAAATGATGTATTTAATGTGAAATAAGACTACTTGTATTTATTTTCCTGACATCACGTGACGCAGCAATTATTGTAATTGTAATTGTACTCTAGGCCACATGGCCCAAAATACTGAATAAAGAATCTTGATCTTGAATTCAAACATAATGCTCTTCCAAATCAGCTAATCAGAAAAAATGACAAAACAATTGGTGTTCATTTTAGAAGCTGCTAAGTGGGGCCAATTTACCCCCGACCTCCCCAAGAATTGGGGACATCTGTTTGTTTGTTGTTCAATGCTGCACTCAGCAATATTCCAGCCATATGACGGCGGTCTGTAAATAATCAAGCCTGGACCAGACAATCTAGTTATAATTATATCATGAGCATCAATCTACGCAATCAGGATACGATGACATGTATCAACCAGGTTAGTTTTGAATCGCTCATCTCTCGAAATATCAGCAATGACATCTGAACTGGTCGAAAAGGGTTATAGCACAAACGTCACCTCAGCAAAACGTCACCTCAGCAAAACGTCACCGGGCGAAAACGGCACATCGACTCAAGTGAAAACGGCACCTTATTATTTTTTTTACCTTAGTCAAATGTATGATATTAAACTTACATTGTAACTTGCAAACACCAATAATTGTGAGATGTTAAAACAAGTTTACATTAGAAATTAGCCACTACTCCAACTATAATATAAGGGTAACGCTATTTTTCAGGGCATTATCATTTGCAGAAGCCCGAGGTCTTCCATTAACTGCCCGACGAAGGAGCGCAGTTGAAAAGATTGAGGGCTTCTGCAAATGATCATGCCCTGAAAAATAGCGTTACCGTTATTATAGCTTAAATGGATGGAATTTGTTATCAAATAAAAAGAAACAATGTCGATTTTGAAACATTTACTGCAATCAACACGAATGTCACTGACCCACTTTTACACATATGGAAACGTCATAGAACAAACCAGATGACGTCACTATTGAACGTTACATCACCTTTCCCTATACCTATGACGTCACCTAACAACGGGCGTGAAAATGGCCCGTCGTCAAGTAATATGAGGGCATTATCAAGTTACAGTGGCCCGCTCATTTCTGATAACATGCGGGCGTTTTTATGATAATTCTATCCATTTTGGCTATAATCCAAATTAGCTTATACGTAACTCAACTTTTTGTGAAAACATAACATGCTTTGAACATAGACATTAAACTCACATCGTCTCTTACAAACACAAATAATTGTGAAATAAAACAAGTAAGAAATGAGCGTGATCTGATCAACACCTTTCAAGCCCAGTGGATCGCTCATCCCACCTTCTCTCCACGATCCTGGTCTGTGTTCAACATAGCTATCAGGACGAACAACTTTGTGGAAGGTAATAACAATACAAAAAGTTCAAATACAAATACATACAATTAAAACCGTTGTTATCGTTATTAATAATAGAGGTGCCGTTTTCGCCAAATGCGGTGCCGTTTTTGACAGAGAAATCAGTGACGTTTTGCTGAGGTGCCGTTTTAGCTTGCACCCGTTCGAAAACAGGGTATCGATACGTCAGGATATTTTAGATAACACTAAGTCAAATGTTTATTTTCAATTGATTCTTATAACATCTTTAGCCCAATTGATGTTAAACACGATAAATGTAGACTTGTGATGACGGATGAAAATGAAACTAGGAATTCCGATCATGTAATTTTAGCACAACATCGGCCATGTAATCCAAACACGTGACACGCGACAACCAGTGGCACAATTTGTTTGCAACAACCATGAACAAGTGTGAAGGGAGTTCCCCTGTTTCAGAAGTATCGTATTCTGCTTATAAAATGCCAGACAACCTGAAAAGCAAGTCATTGGAAGATGAAATGGGCCATTTCACATAAATATAAACATATGCTCAAAATATTGTATCGCATTTGCCATGATTTGTGACCTCAATCTGTCCTGAACTTTGTTCCAAAACGTGAATAATTCATACAGTATTTACCGTGACGATTATGTATAGGCCATTATGAATCAAGCGATCTTCTCATACACAGCTTATGCAAAAAAAATAGGGCAATAAACCAATTTCCCCGAGTAAAGACATCGGACCAAACCACTGCCCTAAGCGTGACCTAACCCCACTAATGAAACTTATCTCACATGTTTACAAAGTGTTGACGACACACGCGAAGCTACAACCCTCCCACCAAGAGACAAAGTCAAGGTACCATCGCTTACAATTCAACCGTAACACACAGGCTACATATAAAACAGTGGTCGGCACTGCCACATTAAACGCAACTTAAGAATCTCTTACCTTCTGTAACTTTCATATCCTGTTAGTAAATTCTCTCGCAAGATGGCGTCCGTGGCGGGACAAGGGGGATAACTCATGTTGCTTGGAATCAATATCTCTGTTCGCGTTGACGACATGACTGCACACAAAAGCTTGTTCAAACAGGTTTCGATTTTTTAATAAAGGTACAATAGAGTTATGACTTTATCGGCAGTAAGTGATCACATCGTGCATATATCTGTTTTAACCGTTGATAAAATGTACAAGGATGATTGACAGCTGTAGCTATCGATGTACTACAAAAACACAGATCGATTCTTTTTGTATATTATATATATACGTAGCACATGTCACGTGCACATGGCGTGCACTAGAGGAATACATATATAACAAGCAATCGTTGGTCACACCCTTGCATATGGTACTTGTTGCAGTGTTGCAGTTGCAATAAGTTTTACACGTTTACTTCCCTGTCCATGGAAGAGTAGAACTAGATCTATACTTTTTGTCTTAGTCGTAAAACTTGTAATAAGTGACATTGTTTAAACTGTGGCATTGTCTTTTGGGGGTACCGTACTTTATTGAATAGACGCCCGTCCTGAATACGCAGACGACGTATCTTACAGACTCGCGAAATGAATGAACGCTGCCTTAAAAGACGCCGTGTTAAACACATATAATGCCTTTACGTACTCAATAAATTAAGTGATATTGAATTGACAGCAAGAAAATACAAACAAACTACACACGTTTTATTCAAACTAAGCGTCCCATGGCAATTAAAAATGTTCACAGTCATTAAAAAATAGATGTCTGCCTTGAACCGGGTGAAAGACATTTCTGTCATGAATTGACCTCAAGCTGAGCGTCTATAAGGATTTACGACCCGTGTAGATCCGGGGTAGAATAGGTCTTCAGCAACCCATGCTTGCCGTAAAAGGCGACTATGCTTGTCGTAAGAGGCGACTAACGGGATGGGGCGGTCAGGCTCGCTGACTTGATTGATGCATGTCGTCGATCCCAATTGCGTGGATCGATGCTCATGAAATTAATCACTGGATTGTGCGGTTATAGACAGCTCTCATAAAGCTGGAATATGGCAGAGTGCGGCTTGCTGAATATATGAAAGAACGTCAAAACAACACTGTTGTTGCGGTGCTGTGTGTTGAAGCATCTTGCGAAAACGAATATAAAACCTCAATCTGAACGAAGACATATGGAAGTAGCGTTAAATTTAGGCATCCTAAATAGTAATGATATTTATCATTTAACTTAAGCATTTATCCATGACATAAGCTTATGACCTAAAAACATGTATGTCATGCCCCAATGACATAAGTATGCAACTTAGATATGCAAATTAGATAACCGGAAGAGGGAGCGGTTTGATTTGAAACTATATATTATAAATGAAGTTACACCAGAGATATAATCAGATTACACAGAATCGTTGTTGTTACCGTTATTAAAGTTTCAATTATTCTGCAAATGTCTGTTCAAGTATTTTGTTTAAAATAATCCGAGGAACTTTTTTTCTCAGCGAATTGTTTATTTTGGTTTACATGGCTATGGAACACATGTATCACTACGCACGATCTATACGTAAGATTTCGACAAGTTGCTGATGTTAATGTTTAATGCAATTATTCCTTAATTTGGAAGCAAAAATGTGAAAATGATAAATAGAATTCATCACTCGTGTTTTTTAATATGGGAAATATCAACCTCGTCCCGTTAATCGGTATTTGCCTCGCCAAAGGCTCGGCAAATACCGATTAACTAAGACTCGGTTGATATTTCCCATATTAAAAAACACTCGTGACGAATCCTCTATTTGTTTGTTTACTTGTTTTTCGGCGCACTCAGCAATAATCAAGCAGCATAACGACGGCCTCTAAATAATAGACTCTGGGCCAGACAATCCAGTGATTACCATCATGCACATGTATCTGAACCATAGGAATTCGACAAGCATCAGCCAAGTCAGTGAGCCTGACAACGCGATCCTTCTGGTCGTCTCTTACCAAAAGTATATACAGTGACACTTAACACTGAGCGAGATTTCTTAGTTCGCTATACACGTCGCTAATTAGTGATAAATGGGCTTGTCGGTGATCAGGTATCAGTTCGCTGTATCCGTTAGTTCGCTATAGAGAGTTCGTTATATACGTAAATTTTATATGATATTATATAGGAGATAAATCGGGGATTTTTTAACAGTTCGTTGTATCCGTTTGTTCGCTATATCCGTGTTCGTTATATCCGTGTTCTACTGTATAGTCTCCTCTCACGATAAGCTTGGGATGCTGAATATTCTCACCAGAAATGTTTACTTGTTTACTTGGGCTGAATACAAATCCTAAAGGGAATATAAATAATAGTGAATATAGACCCCATCTAGACTTTATATAGAGTAGTGGTGTTTTATTAGGAATGAAAATGGACCCCATAGGCATTACAGCTTGTACTGATATTTTATTGAGGATGAAGATAGACCCCATAGGCATTATAAACATTTGTGATGTTTTATTGAGGACGAAGAGGGACCCCCATAGGCATAAATGGAGGTGATGTTTTATTTGGTAATGAAGTTAGACCTTATAGGCATTATAATTTGTACTGACATTTTATTGAGGATGAAGATAGACCCCATAGGCATTATAAATAGTCCTGATGTTTCATTGGTGATGAATATAGACACCATAGGCATTATAAATACAGTAAACTACGGTTATAACGAACTCAAAGGGACTACTTATTTTAGTTCGTTATAACCGTAATTCGTTATAAGCATATATACAGCATAACTACAGCATATAGTCGGGACTAAAAACTTAGTTCGTTATATCCGTTAGTTCGTTATAAGCGTGTTCGTTATAACCGTAGTTTACTGTAGTCCTGATGTTTCAATGGTGATGAATATAGACACCATAGGCATTATCAATAGCAGTGATGTTTTAGTGGTGATGAATATAGACACCACAGGCATTATCAATAGTCCTGATGTTTCAATGGTGATGAAGATTGACCCAGTGGGCATTATGAATAGTAGTGATGTTTCAATGGTGATGAAGATTGACCCAGTGGGCATTATGAATAGTCCTGATGTTTCAATGGTGATGAAGATTGACCCAGTGGGCATTATGAATAGTCCTGATGTTTCAATGGTGATGAAGATTGACCCAGTGAGCATTATCAATAGTCCTGATGTTTCAATGGTGATGAAGATTGACCCAGTGGGCATTATGAATAGTCCTGATGTTTCAATGGTGATGAAGATTGACCCAGTGGGCATTATGAATAGTCCTGATGTTTCAATGGTGATGAAGATTGACCCAGTGGGCATTATGAATAGTAGTGATGTTTCAATGGTGATGAAGATTGACCCAGTGGGCATTATGAATAGTCCTGATGTTTCAATGGTGATGAAGATTGACCCAGTGGGCATTATGAATAGTCCTGATGTTTCAATGGTGATGAAGATTGACCCAGTGGGCATTATGAATAGTAGTGATGTTTCAATGGTGATGAAGATTGACCCAGTGGGCATTATGAATAGTAGTGATGTTTCAATGGTGATGAAGATTGACCCAGTGGGCATTATCAATAGTCCTGATGTTTCAATGGTGATGAAGATTGACCCAGTGGGCATTATGAATAGTCCTGATGTTTCAATGGTGATGAAGATTGACCCAGTGGGCATTATGAATAGTCCTGATGTTTCAATGGTGATGAAGATTGACCCAGTGGGCATTATGAATAGTCCTGATGTTTCAATGGTGATGAAGATTGACCCAGTGGGCATTATGAATAGTCCTGATGTTTCAATGGTGATGAAGATTGACCCAGTGGGCATTATGAATAGTAGTGATGTTTCAATGGTGATGAAGATTGACCCAGTGGGCATTATGAATAGTAGTGATGTTTCAATGGTGATGAAGATTGACCCAGTGGGCATTATGAATAGTAGTGATGTTTCAATGGTGATGAAGATTGACCCAGTGGGCATTATGAATAGTCCTGATGTTTCAATGGTGATGAAGATTGACCCAGTGGGCATTATGAATAGTAGTGATGTTTCAATGGTGATGAAGATTGACCCAGTGGGCATTATGAATAGTAGTGATGTTTCAATGGTGATGAAGATTGACCCAGTGGGCATTATGAATAGTAGTGATGTTTTATTTGGCTGACGATAGATCCCATTGGCATTATAAGTAGTAGGCATGTTTTATAGACTGAAGACTGACCCCCATAGGCATCATAAATAGCACTGATGTTTTATTGGCGATGAAGATAGACCTTATAGGCATTATAGATAGTAGTGGTGTTTATTAGGATAAAGACAGACCCACAGGCATTAAAGATAGTAGTGATGTTTTGTTGGTGATAAAAAAATCAAGATCATTATCTTGAAATTTCAACTTAGTATCTTGAAATTTCAAGTTTGTATACAAATACCAATGGCTTCCGTACTATCGGGCGTTCTTTAAAAAAATGTAGTATAGTTTGGGTGGCTAAAATCTGAGGACAATCTTTTCTCCATTTTAATCTGTAACAAATTAATTGTGTTAAGAAAAATCTTATTTGTATAACCGGATGAGTGAATACCCCTTGATGTCGAGCGCCAGGCAGGGTAACAACAAGTACCATCTTTTAACGTGTTCTAATACGATCGAACCACCGACCTTCCGCTCTCCGGGCAGACGCATCCAGTTGATGTCCCTTCGTTCATACATTGGTACACTCCTGAAGCGTCGGCTTCTATCTCGATCTCGCGAAATCTGTGAAGATCCGGGGTAGAATAGGTCTTCAGCAACCCATGCTTGCCGTAAAAGGCGACTATGCTTGTCGTTAAGAGGCGACTAACGGGATCGGGCGGTCAGGCTCGTTGACTTGCTTGTTACATGTCATCGTATCTCAATTGCGTGGATCGATGTCAGTCACTGGATTGTCTGGTCCAGGCTCGATTATTCACAGACCGCCACCATATAGCTGGAATATTGCTGAGTGCGGCGTTAAATGTGCCGCCATGTATCCTTGATTAGACTTGAAGTACTTTCCAATTTTCACTTCAATTATCCTTATTTATTCAAAATTAAAAATAAATATATTGAATTGCATGTTTAATATATTTGGTTTATTTTTGGTTTTTTTCAAATTAAAAATAAATAAATTGAATTGCATGTTTAATATATTTGGTTTGTTTTTGTTTGCGTGATTAAGATAATTTGAAGGTTATAAAATGAGAAGGCGACTGCCCAAGTCTAGTTCCGTGTACCTTGACATTGTAACCGAAATACGTATTCCGCCAGCGAGGATTATATTTAAAAAAATTGTTTCTACTAAGCTTACTATTATTAAAAAAATTCAAATTAAGTTTAAGTTATTTATCTTAAAAATAGAACATATTTTACAAGTGTTAGATGCATGGGTTGTTCCGCCCATCGCTTCTTTCTATTTGCTCCGTGTCACCAATAGCAGTACTTATGATGGCCTCGTTTTCGAATCTAATCTATTAATAGATCGGAATTTCCACTTCGTTTCGTTTCTGCGAAATCCAGATAGCATTAACGTGAATAGAATAACTGACAGTGCTCGACAGGGGCGGTGCTTGACAAACTTCAAGCCCTTAATAAGGACGATGTATGATTTAGGCGAATCTGTCATCAGGAAAGTGCAAGATCGACTGGGTTCGTCTGATTGGCAAGGATATACAGATATCACATCGTCTTCGTCACACAAGCAGCGTACGTATGTATGGCTGACGTTATGTTTTTGTTCAGATCAAGGGACCAGGTCAATCATCATGGTTGAATGTCGTACCGGGCCACCTACACGGAGGAGGCCCCGAGGGTTGAAATCAACCCCTCTCTGTTGATTTGAATAACCCCACGGGCCCGCTGTATCATAATGTCATGATGTCTGGTGTCATTATTCCGAGTGACATGAATTTAATGCGGATGATCAGCCCGTTGGCTGTTTTGTTACAGGGCTCCGTCCGTGTTGCTTTGACCTTAACAGTCACGGTGACCCAGCCGGCTCTATCTTCATTGCACAAATCCATATATTTTGTGTCAGGTAATGGCGAAGCTGACAGCGAAAACGTGGCTTTGTGAGGTGAGGTGAGGTGAGGTGAGGTGAGGTGAGGTGAAATGGGGGTTAACGTCGCGTCCAAAATTATTGAACTGATATAGCGACGTGCATGCACGTATGTGTGTGGCTGCTTGTACTAGTCCAGGCTGATGCCGATTTATAGTGCTAGCCCACTGAGATACCATGCCGCAGTTTGATATGAATACCGCACTCAGACACAGTGTACTGACTCCCAGCCGACCAGTCCTCCCAGCTAACAATTTCACGTTGTGACAACGTTGTGTTTACGTTGTGGCAACGTTGCGGATGTTACGTCCATACAACGTTATTATGTGGACTTCCATTTATGTTGTCACAACGTCATGGCCTAACGTTGTGTTACGTCATATTCACGTCGTCACAACGTTGTGATGACGTTGTATTTGACGTTGAGGGAACGTTGTATTTGACGTTGTGGTTATGTTGTATTTTACGTTGTGGCAATGTTATAATAATGCGTCCCTACAACGCTTTTCTGTGTACTACCATGGACGTTGTCACAACGACGTGAAATAACTTTGTGTTACAAGGATGAAATACGGTTGTGACCATTCCACACTAAAATGTTGTAAAAACAACCCCAAAACTTGTTCCGGAAATATTTTAGAATATGCTTTAGTCACGTGAATGTGTATGATTCGAGATACCTTTTACCATTATTTTAAAACCAGGGCGTCGAATAGCCCGGTTAACAGTTAGATCGTGTTTTGCTTACAATGTTCAAAATGTAAAAACACCACTGAGCTGTTAACTACATGTAGATACATGATTTGACTATAACAAAGTCAGACACCATTACCCTTTAGGCTTGTACTGAAAGAAAAAAAGAAAAAGAAAGGCAGACATTGTAAGCGTTTGACCATGTGATATTTTCTGGGGATGGTCGGGTCCTGGAATATTATCGAAAATTTCTTGACAAAAATAATTACGGTTCAGACTGGTGAAAAAAATGCCTGCCACAAAAAAATGACATAGATCTAGATGCAAGGTGCTTATCTTCAGGCTCATAGAGTTAAAGAAAATCATATATCTGCTTTTGTAGCTGTGACCGAAAACATGTAATCTCCATAGAAAAGTTCCAGGTCCCCACCTCCTTGAATATTAAATGGTCGGTCTCTAATCAAGTCCATATAGTATACTTCAACTTTCAGTCATGCGAAGTCACCATTCATAACTCCAAGACACATTTGCGTTGACATTTTATTATTTTTAGATTATAGAAAATGTATACACTTTTCGAAATTATTGAATGCCAGAATCTTCTTTCTTTGGTGTTCACTTCAAATTCCCTGAAATACAAACAGCTTAATAAATCTCGAGCAGGTATATAATAGAGATCATATGACGAGAAACATTCATTTGGAGATAAGGTTTTATCAATATTCAAACTGTAATGTATAATTCAAGTGACTGATGGAAACAAATTTTAACATTTATTCAGAGACATCAAGAATCAGGTTGAATACAAAACGTGGTACGAGCATAGATTTATATAAATAGATCTACATTCTTAGCATTCATTTCAAGCAAAAAAAACCCCACCAATTAACATGGATATAGACAATGGAATGTAACCGTAAACAATTGTACTTACGTTAACATAATTCACAGCCCAGGGTTTATTTGGTGTGTTCCTCAATAATTCAACATTCTTGATTTTATCTCCTGGAATTGTCGTGTAACATTTTCCCCCTTGCTGCAACGAAAACATATTAAAAAAGTCAAAACTAAAACTAAATTCAATAAGCATACATTTAGATCTGTAGTCTAAACAAAAAGATAACATACATTGTATAATTGCCTAAAATTTAGGAAAACTGTAAATCTAAAGTGTTCATGTATAAGGTCCGATCGGAAATAAACTCAGGCTACAGATATAAGTAACAAAATTATGAGTACCATCATAAAAAAAATACCTAATGTAATTTGGTTTTACATATACACCGGTCTGACAAACCAGTGATTGTTATAGTGAGCCACGTCTCACAACCTCTGTCAGAGTACAATGACACACAATCATGTTAGTACAAACATGGTTTGTTGGGGACCTTTTCTAAACCTGAATCCAAACGGGAACAGATATATTTGACAGGCATTGTAGCTAATTACGACTCACATCTTCATCGCAGCGCTGTTTATATAGATCTAGCTACAGTACGATTTCGTAGCTAGCACTGGAACTTACTCGTTCAGTTTTCGATCACCATTTTATTCTCTCTCATTGCCAAAACGTTTCAGAGAACCAAGTATCATATACTTACTGCGTTTATTAACATAATACAGTTCAATATCGTTAAATATAATTCTGTAGTATGGTAGCCTACCTGGCAACATACGGAGATCGAAAACCGAACGAATATGGTTGCTATCACATTGACTAGATCTACACCCATCTCACCTTAATAATCAACAAACGATGACCAAATCACTGACAATGTATGGTGATATTTAACTTTTGATTATCGACTAGCTTATCATCACCAGCGAGAACAATACCGCAAACACCCCGTTATAGCGCGCGACGAGACTCGTTTTACTTTTGCTCGTTTTCATTAGAAGGGAGTCGGACATAGATCTAGTTATCGGAAAATAATAAATTGATTCTTTTTTTGTGGAAATATTAAAAATACACATGATAAGCGCCTTGCTCAAATAAACTTTATAGACAGCACCAACAACCTGATGGTCCACATTTAGGCTACTTCAGTCAGTGCTGATTGGGCCTTTTCGGGAACAACATGTATGTTTCTGTCTCTTCTCGAAAATACAATTTTTCATAACATCATTCAGCGCTTTAGATTAGGGCTATAACTAGCTGCCTACAGAGAGTCGATCTATGCTTCCATTGTTTTGATTCCCTCTCTTCGCTGTATAAGAGAAATCTACTAAACCTTTCCCATGGCCTGAATGAGCCACATTGTTTCACAAAAATCAAAGTCAGAATATTAGTACATGTAAACTTTCAGATTTCAGAAATAACACGGAAGAAATGGCGATTACTGTCAGTGGTCAGTAGGCGATGCATACGTTAGGCCTATTTAGGCCTACAGACCTTATACGCTTACAATCGAAACCCGAACATAATATGACGACCACAAAACGCCGCCAGACTGAATTCTGGTCAAACATATACTGCTTGCCCTTGGTAATTACCCTTGGTATCCATAAAATAATAATATGGTAAAAAGTCATGGGCTTCCTTCACCTCTATATACATCACGTTCTGTGTATCAAATATTAATATCAACACTGACGCTCAGCTCAGTGAAAGTGACCGGCAAACTACATTCTAAACCCCGCCACTTCTGAATAATACGATACATTTAAATCATTTGACTATCTGCATGTACAGAAACATATCAACAAGCGGAGACTGCTTTTGAAAAATAACTTACCTTATCCGAATTCACAGATCATCTGTCCAGTTCCCGTTGCTGCACAATCACTTGGTTGTAATATATCCAGAGTGAGTTTGAACCAAGATGGCTGGTGACAACAAATCTTCCGCGACAATGTGACGTCATTTTGACGTCACTTCACGAGGCAACAGGCTAAACTTTTCAGCAGTCTCTCTCACGTCGCAAAAAATGGGCGCCAATGTGTTTTTAACTGTAATTTTGCTTTAGACAACATTTAGTAGACAGATAACTTCGTTCATAGATATATATGTTTAAAAAAAATAAAACTACGAGATGGTAGATCTACAAGTGGTTTCCTAAACATCATTTACAAAAAGTGTTGTAATGTCCAAAGCATAACGTTATCACAACGTTAATTTGCAACGTTGTTGTTACGTTGTGGAATAACATTACAATGTAACGTGATACTAACAATTACGTTCTGGAAATTTTAGTATTAAGAGATGAAAATTCAAATGCCGAATATACAGAAAGGTAATGCATTACTGCCTTGGTATTCTGACAAATTCATGTTGATTTTGATAAAGCAGTTCTATTCCTTTATGACTATCAAGAAGCAGACTTTATAACGTTTCGCCGACGTTTCAGAAACGTAGTTACAAAACGTTGTGCGATGTCCGATGCACAACGTTTTCACAACGTGAATGTGCAACGTTGTTATAACGTTGTGAAATAACGTTGCACGTTGACGTTATAATAACGTTGTGACAACGTTATTTCACGACGTTACCAATCCACAACCTTTCCACAACGTTGTGACAACGTCGTGTGTTAGGTGGGCTTGTTCTATCCCTGTATAGTGCTAGCCCACTGAGATACCATGCCGCAGTTTAACATGAATACCCCACTCAGACACAGTATACTGACTCCGAGCCGACCAGTACTTGTTCTATCCCTGTATAGTGCTAGCCCACGGAGATACCAAGCCGCAGTTTAACATGACTACCCTACTCAGACACAGAAAACTGACTCCGAGCCGACCAGTCCTTGTTTTAGCCCCTTAAAGCCGAGCGTCAGACAGGGTAACAACAAGGAGCATCTTTGGTATGACGCGGCCGGGGATCGGACCCCCGACCTTAAAAATATTTCGCTGTCCGGGTGGATCATGGTGTCAATCACAGGATTGTCTGATTGTTGATTATTTTCAGATAGCTGGAAGGTTGCTGAGTGCAAGCCTTAAACAACAAACAAACATTAAGCTCTTATAATAAATACCTGATAAACTGCATTCCAGTGCATAATAATCAAAGTTACTTAATCGAAAACATAGATGTGTATATTAGTTCCAATTTACAATCATTTTAGCCCCATGTTCCAAAATCTAAAGTATGTTGAAAATATATTCGCTTTCATTTACTGACGCTTGCTACGAAATGCGCCATTGTGGGGTATATTTAGCAAAGAAAATGTTGACAACTCACCATCGCTGAGCTTATTCTTTGTTTTGTTTGTTTGTTTAACGCCGCACTCAGCAATATTCCGGGTTTATGACAGCAGTCTGCAAATAATCGAGTCTGGACCAGACAATCCACTCATTGACATCATGAACATCGATCCGAGCAATTGGTTTGTTTGTTGTTTAACGCCGCACTCAGCAATATTCCAGCTATGTGACGGCGGTCTGTAAATAATCGAGTCTGGACCAGACAATCCAGTGATTAATATCATGAGCATCGATCCACGCATTTGGGATCGTTGACATGCATCAACCAAGTCAGCGAGCCTGACCACCCGATCCCGTTAGTCGCCTTTTACGACAACAAAGTCGCCTTTTATGGCAAGCTTGGGTTGCTTAAGACCTACATTACCCCGGAATCTTCACGAGCCCCGAGTAATTGGGATACGATGACATGCATTAACCAAGTCGGCGAGCCTTAGCACCCGATCCTGTAACTCGCCTCTTACAACAAGCATAGTCGCCTTTTATGGCAAGCATGGGCTCCTGAAGACCTATTCTACCCCGGATCTTCACGGGTCCCGAGCAATTGGGATACGAAGACATGCGTCAACCAAGTCGGCGAGCCTTAGCACCCGAGCCTGTAACTCGCCTCTTACAACAAGCATAGTCGCCTTTTATGGCAAGCATGGGCTCCTGAAGACCTATTCTACCCCGGATCTTCACGGGTCCCGAGCAATTGGGATACGATGACATGCGTCAACCAAGTCGGCGAGCCTTAGCACCCGATCCTGTAACTCGCCTCTTACAACAAGCATAGTCGCCTTTATGGCAAGCATGGGTTGCTGAAGACCTATTCTACCCCGGATTTTCACGGGTCCTGAGCTGATCCCACGCCACTCAATGCCACTGAGCTTATTCACTGGCATTGAGTGCAGAGACCATAGATTACTTAGATGAGCTTATGAACATCCGACGTTCCCAGAAAGCCTGTGTTAAGACACAACAAAATGTACTGTTTTTAGCATTAACAGTACAACTAAAATAGTATTTTTTTTCATGTTACAGATATTCAAGATGGCGGAAGCTAAATTCATAGACAAGTACCTGACGTGCGCCATCTGCAAGGACGAGTTCACGGACCCACGCGGTCTCCCATGCATGCATAGGCTCTGTCTGCAATGCTTAAAGGACCACATTCAATCAAATGGAAAGCGTATTAAGCAAAAGAAGAAGAGAATTGCAGGATTCAAATGCCCTGAATGCAGACTGTTCGTCAAGATCCCGGACGCAAGTCAGGCAAAGGATACGTGGGCGGCACAGCTTCCTGCAGATTTCATTCTGAAAACAATGCAGGGTGACATTAAGAGTAAGTACGAGAGGTGGCTGAAAACAATCCAGGGGGACATGGAGAGTAAGTACGAGAGGTGGCTGAAAACAGTTCTGAGCCTAACTACCAAGGATGTATAGTACACCATTAACAGTCTGAATTTATTTAGTACAAAACGTTCCATGCTTACAGGGAACATTTAACCAAATACAAAACCAGGCAGCATATTCTACACACACCAAAGTGAGTAGGTGTTCTCTGTTGATGCAAGTACGCTGTCATCGAATATATCCACACTGCAATTCCAACAGCCATACATGTTTGCATGGTGTCATCTTTAGGGGCTGAAGCTCTTTCATTTGTCTTGTTAAGAGATGGGCAGCTGAGTTCTAAGGGAAGTGAGAGCCTCCACGATGTCAAGATCAGAAGCACCTTCAACTGGCACCACAGAGGAAAAATGATGATCAATACATCATATTAATATGGATGATCGACGACTCGCCAATCCTCACTTTGCTAATACAGTGGGCATGCATCATGAGACCATTCTGAGAGTGAGTGAGTTGGGTTTATTGCTGCTTTTAAAAGTTGTCCAGTTATATCGCGATGTGTCAGCTTAATGCAGGAAGAAAGCCCGACGTGATGCAGGTCTCAGAGGTTTACCAGTTCGGTGAAACCCACGAGCATGGGTATGGTGCTGACAAACCTAGAAACATAATCGGGGCGAACCGGGATTCGAACCCACAATCATAGGTTTCTGGCGTGGCCAAGGGACGCAACTCTGCACAGCGAATCGCGGCGCCTTAGACGTCTGGGCCACCCGTGCTCCCATCATTCTGAGAAGTGAACTGGTAATGGCAATGGTTTCTGACTCTTCATCAGAAACGCTCCAGGATCGTCATCTCTCGTGAGATTTTGATGCGGACCCTGCTAACGTTATTGAGCGAGTGTCGGTTTCACAACTGTCAGACAGAAACTAAACAACAGTCAAAGAACTGGAAACATCGAAAGCAATGTCTTGTGGCACGTTTATGGCACGTTTGTGGGTTTATGGAAGGATCTCTCTTCTTGTGACCTCCAGAAAGATCAGATCAGTTAATCTGCTTTAGGCAACTGCGTGAGAATATCAAGGAAAACTCTACCAGGAAATCGTACCTGTGCATAAGACTGCTGCCTTCATGGCCATAATACGTGTCAGGGTCTTCGAACATTCTCCGAGATGCTGCCAAATCTCGTGAGAATTTGGCAGCGTCACACTGCTATCTCTTCCTAAAGTAGAGGAGAGAACTGCCTGGCAAAGTGTATGCAAATAATAATGATGTCATTTCTGCTGTGGACGGCTTTATTTACAACTCCAGGACGAACGTTTCCACATCGGTGGGATTCAACCCCTACAGCGTCTAGGCACAAGTGTATGGATCTTGGGATGGGCGGTAGTGTTGGATGTTGAATAAGCAACATACTCCAAGTCCTTCATAGTTCAGCGTCCCGAGGCAAGGGAGTTGACTGACTATAAAAGTCCAGTTTCCACCCTTGCCGAACAAGGCTGGAATTTCCAGGCTCGATCGTAGCGCCACCACTGGCTATTACGAGTCATGTCCCTTCTATGTTCTTCTATATCCCTCCTTCTGACCAATCAGATTCCATCTATCATATCACTTGCATTTGCTTCAAACGAAATGGCCGCGCCCAGTCAAGTTGATCTGATCGATACTCAAGATCTATATTGTAGTAAGACGTGTGAATCAGATCACATGAACACCTTGGTTAAAAATATGAAAAAAATTGCAAAATATCTGTCGACGACACATGCTTTGCAAATCCTGCAGTTGACCGAAATCTGCACGTTGAACTCCATGTCAGTCCTTACGTGATTTTCACTGGATTATGCATAGGCTCGTTAGTCCAAACACAACGTAACTCCAGAATCCCAGCCTCGTTCGGCAAGGGTGGGAACTGGACTTTTGTAGTCAGTTAACTGTCTTGCCTCGGGAAGATGTTCATAGTTAGGATCAGAACTTTTCAGCCACCCCTTTTATATCGGAAACAAAGTGGACAATCTTCCCTGTTTGCCGCTTAGCCAGTATTCGCTAGTTGTGGGTTTAAATCCCAGTTTTGCTGCGATTATTGGTTCATCCGCACCATATTTCTGCTGGTAGTTTTACCAAGGTGATAGATGTTGACGACCCCTGTGATTTGGAATTTGTCTTCACGTTAACTGCACAGGTCATTGTGAGAAGATTAATCATCTAAATCAGCTCTTCTTAAAAAAAGTTTCGGTCTAAGATGAGACACCGCCATGCCGTACCTATGTACATTTACAGTAGCTGTGTTGTGCAAATGAGATTATACATTTTAATTTTTCACAAACGTAGAAGAATACAGAATAAGAATTACAGGCTATATTACATTTTTCTTGCAGGTGGTGATGTAAAATTATCGGATCCAAACGACCGTCATCAAAGCAAAGAAGAGACGGTCGTCACTGATGAGTGTTCCTCGAAAGTTTTAGCTGTCGACTCGAACCCACTCAAACCCTCACAGCTACAGGAAGCAAATAGAAGCATCGCTACCGCCAATGATATTGGCGGGAAGAAAGCCACACAGAAAATGACAGGAAGCTTACATAAAGTTATCTCCCTTCAACCTGACGAGAAGCAACCAGGTGCCTATGACCTTGCTGTGTTAGTTCACAGAGACAAGAAAATAATCGTCGTCCCAGATTTTGATAATCACAAATTACTCCTTTTTACCCTAAATACGGAAATGGAAGTGACACAGAAAAGTAAATATGATCTTGGGGCCAAACCTTGGAGGATATGTGATGTAGGAAAGGACCAGGTAGCCGTCACTGTGAGCTCCCCACAAGGGGTGATCATATGTACAGTGGCCACTACCGTTGAGAAGAAAGTGTTTTTTCCAACCACTAAGCGGTATGATGGAATCTGTGCCTTACCTGGGAGAAAGTTTGTTGCGACTGTTGATGACAGTGTTGACATAATACGAGACGACGGCACAGTGCTGAAGGAGTATGACATCAAGGCCTCTCACGTCAAATATTCTGACAACTGCTACGTCGCCGTCACACCCAACAAAACCATCGTTGTCACTGATTGTGGGGGCAACACAGCATCTTGCCTCAAACAGGATGGTAAAGTGCTGTGGTGTAAAAACGTGAAATGCCTAGGCGTGGCTTGTGATGGCGCAGGGAACATTTTCATTGCTGAAACAGGCCATGGATCCATCGTGCAGTTCTCCAGCAGGGGGAGGAAGGTATGCAGGGTGATCGGGGAGTCAGAGCCCTTCAGTCAGCCTTCAGGAGTAGCAGTTGATAACATGGGCTATCTGTATGTTATCTGTAACTACAAGGATATCACAGTGTGGAAGCTAGGGCACCAGACTGAGGGTCGCATTGAGTGTCTTGACCCAAGATAGAGAGGGCACCAGACTGAGGGTCGCATTGAGGGTCTTGACCCACGACAGAGAGGGCATCAGACTGAGGGTCGCATTGAGTGTCTTGACCCACGATAGAGAGGGCATCAGACTGAGGGTCGCATTGAGTGTCTAATATTTACTTTATAATTTTCAAGTTGAAAGGGTGCTTTATCCATGAATAAAATGCCAAACCAGGGTAAGTTTTCGTTGAAGAGTGCCATTCTTTGACGTTGCAATCTAATTGTGTACTTAAATAACTGGATGTAAAGTAAACTTTTCACATAGCTTGCCCAATTTGGGTGGTGTCTATCACAAAATTTTCTTAACATCAGATAACATTGAAAATGATATAAGTGACAGTAATACGATCGTCTGCAAATAGTAATGCTATGATGTTAAACATCTCTGAAGAAATATAGATCCCAACCTGAAAACTTCCATTCATGTACAGAGTCAATATCTTTACCAAGAAAATCTTATAATATGCTTGTATATAACGACAAGTGTTGCCATCAGAACTATGCTTCTTCCATTCGTTCCATATTATTTTCTCACGGATTCGGAGTAGTTTGGCTCAGTCAAGCTGTTGGCGACAAACCTTTATTCATTAATAGTTTTAAAAATGTTTTGATTAATATGTTCTATCAATCATGGAATAGTACTATCAAGGCTAGTTCTAGGTACATCCTGTATAAAGAGTTTAAAAGTCTCCTGGAACCAGAAAATAGCTTTCTCTTGTTGGTGAAATATAATATCGAAATGTTATTATAAGGCTAAGAGACGAGCAACTAAGACTTAAGATAAACGAAGGTAGATGGGCTGATATTGATGTACGTTTACAGCTTTTCCCTATATGTGAAACAAGTATAGAGAATGAATATCATTTTACTTTAGAATGTGAATACTACAACGATATTAGACAACTGTACGTACCAACAACTGTTTGCCATGATCTAAATATGCATAAATTCATAATGCTGCTGTCACCTCCATTTAAAAATTACTTAGAAAACTATGTAAATAACTGTATTACAGCTATGAAAGAAGATGTAATAATGAAATATTTCAAATGAATGTGTTATATATGGGCGAGTGGACTATATACATACAGTTATGCATACAGTATTTTTGTATTTTTGTCTATTTACAAAATCAATAGTTTCATGTGTTTCTACATGTAAATGGAGTCATTGTTTAAGATGGTAACACATATCTTTGTGTGAAGCGATACAATGACACTGGAACACCAACTTTTGGGGAACATACCATTATTCAAGATTTGGTTGAAAATAGAATTAATAATGATGGTAACACAATTGTGTTTTAAATATTTAAAGAATTCTGCTGGTATATTATCACCACCAGGAGATTGAGTCAACTTCATTTTATCAATGGCTTCAAGGATTTCAGATTGCGTACTTTCCGTGACACTTTACTGTGGATCCAATTTGAGCGGCTCGCTGACTTGGTTGATACATGTCATCGATCTACACAATTGGGATACGATGACATGCACCAACCAAGTCAGAGAGCCTAACCAACCGATTCTGTCATGATGTCAATCACTGAATTGTCTGGTCTAGACTCGATTATTTACATACCGCAGCCATATAACTGGAATATTGGTTTTCAAGATATGAATAGGGTAGTGCCAAACCATGATGCGTGGCAAAATGATGTGTTTTCAGTCACGATGTGCCGAATTTGAATGGTTGGCTGTGTACGGTTATCCAAAAAGCACAGCAATAACTGGTAACTTCTGTTGCGAAAGGACCCGTACTTTTGTTTAAAATGGGAATTTTCTGAAACTTATGTTGTACGGTTTTGGTTTGAAGATATGACCTGGATAGTGCCAAACCCCGTTGCAAACCAAAATGGGCTGTTTTCAGTCAAGATGTTCCGAATTAGAAGGGTTGGTTGTGTCCGGTTCCCCCCAAAAGCAGAACAATAACTTTTAGCTTCTGTTGGGCAAGAAACTTGACTTTTGTTTAAAATATGTTTGCTTCAAATATATTATTTAGAATATTTATGTTTCGGTGCCAAACCCCGTTGCAAGCAAAAATTGGCTGTTTTCAGTCAAACTGTTCCGAAATAGAAGGGTGGGCTGTGTCCGGTTCTCCAAAAAGCACAGCTATAACTGGTATCTTCTGTTGCGAAAGGACCTGCAATTTTGTTCCTAATGGACAATTTCTGAAAAATATAACGTATAGTTTTGGTTTTTAAGGATATGACCTGGATAGTGCCAAACCCCGTTGCAAACCAAAATGGTCTATTTTCAGTCAATAGGTTCCGAATAAGAAGGATGGGCTGTGTTGCGTTCTCCAAAAAGCACAACAATAAATTTTAGCTTCTGTTGGGCAAGAAACTTGGCTTTTGTTCAAAATAGGTTTGCTTCAAAACTATTGTTCAGAATATTCATGTTTGGGTGCCAAACCTCGTGAGAAGCCAAAATGGGCCGTTTTCAGTCAATAGGTTTCGAATTGGAAGGGTGAGCCGTGTTGGGTTCTCCCAAAAGCACAACAATAATTTTTAGCTTCTGTTGGTAAAAAAGCTTGACGTTTGTCTAAAATGGGAATTTTCTGAAAATTATAATGTAAAGTTTTTGTTTTAAAGATATGAAGAGGATAGTGCCAAACCATAATGCGTGCCAAAATGACGTGTTTTCAGTCACGATGTGCCAAATTTGAATGGTTGGCTGTGTGCGGTCTCCAAAACAGCACAGCAATAACTGGTAACTTCCGTTGCAAAAGGACCTGTACTTTTGTTTTAAATGGGAATTTTCCGAAAAATATAACTTAAAGTGTTGGCTTTCAAGACTCATAGTGAGTCTGTGAGTGAGTATGGTTTTAAGCCGCTTTTAGCAATATTCCAGCAATATCACGGCCGGGGACACCAGAAATGGGCTTCACATGTTGTACCCATGTTGGGGAATCGATCCCGGGTTTTCCACCTGAAGAGCGAATGCGTCGACCACTAGGCCACCCACCTCCCCCATATATGCTGTTCAGAAAACTATATATTGCAGGTAAACATTAAAACTACTGGCCTCAGAGAGAAGTTTTTACCTTTCAACAAATGTGTGAATTTCAAATTTATTCCCTGATGAACAAGATTTAAAATACATTTATTGTAGCAGCTGGTATTAATGAATGGTTGTCAAATGCAGAAAAAATATATTGAAAACTCTAAAAAAATTGTGTTTTAGCATACATGTTTTGACAGGCACACCTTTCTGTAGAGTAACCATTTAGATATATGGTTCTAATTATGCAACAGTCTTTTTTAAAAGTTAATAGTGTCTATATCTAATCTTCGCTTATTTACAGTCAATCTGTTCAAGTAGAATACGACGAAGAAACTATTGAGAATAATAATATAAAAACACTCAATACCTTGAACTTACAGAAGTTGTTGGTTTTACAATATCTCTTCTCTTTGTTGAAATGTTTCAGTAACTGAATAGATCGTTATTTTGTTTTCGAACATAAACATCCAACATACATAAATATTTCTAGGACTCATCATGTTTGTTTCAATGGCACTGAAGAGATATCAGATATAAAAAATTCATTAAATTGGAAAACCCGATGAGTGTACTTCATCAGCTACCGACTCATAATTTCAAATTATGGACTTTAATTGTTGGTGGAATTGTTATGCCAATGAAATAAATGGCCCCCGCAAGCGTCATTTCGTTGTTGCATGAATTTGATATATATCTGCATTGGAGTATTAATTCTGTGAAAAGCAAACCTACAAAGTACAAACAGGTCAAATACTGAACATTGTTTTCTCATTTGCATTGCCTTCTATGCTATTCTTGTGGATTCAAGTTATATTCAGGTATTTGCTGTCTGTGAGAATCAAAGGAAACCGTTTGATATTTTGAACGGGATATGGTACCCACCAGTGTAATTCTTAAGAAAACTGATGTTTTACTCCCAGCACGCACGCACGCACGCACGCACGCACCTTATCAACCGCGAAACAAGAAACTCTCAGTATATGCAGACCACTTATTGGTTACGAAATAACACACACACACGCACTATCTTAACGTATTACTGAAACTCGTGCATCTTATATCGTTTGGTATTTCGGGGTTTTATGGTATTTTCGGTATTTCTTTGAAGCAATGTCATACTTTCAGCATACAAATGGCGGGATGATGATAATCACAGATCAGCTTACTATCTGAGACAGAAACTGAAGCCGACACAGCACTACTTGTTCACACGGTGTTTGGATGCGAAAGAAAGGGTCACAGGAACAGTGACGTGTCTGGTTAGGAGCATGTAGTAGTTTGGCGCTCGACTGGTTGTGCCGATCAACCGCTAGTGACGATAATAGGCCTACTGTAGCTAAATCCTTGCCATCCCTCCAGTAAGTGAGTGAGTCAGCATGCTTTATTTACTAGACAGAATGTGAGTGAGCGAGTGAGTGAGCATGTTTCATTTACTGGATATAACCCTAGACGAGTGAGTGAGTGAGTTTGGTTTAACGCCGCTTTTAACAGTATTCCAGTTACATCGCGGCGTGTCAGCTTAATGTGGGAGGAAAGCTCGAAGTGATGCAGGTCTCAGACGTTTAACACTTCGGTGAAACCCACGAGCACGGGTATGGTGCTGACAAACCTAGAAACATAATCGGGGCGAACCGGGATTCGAACCCACAATCAAAGGTTTCTGGCGTGCCTAAGGGACGCAACTCTGCACAGCGAATCGCGGCGCCTTAGACGACCGGGCCATCCCTGCCCCCTAACCCTAGAAGAAGCAGTTTCACCGTCCAGACAGAATGCTTTATTATCTAGATATTCCGATATAGTGAGTGAGTGAATGAGTGGGTGGGTGAGTCAGCATGCTTCTTTCCTAGATATTTCCCTAGACGATGCAGTTTCACCATCTAAACAGGATTGAGTGAGTGAGTGAGTCAACATGCTTCATTTACTAGATATTTCCCAAGACGATGCAGTTTCACCGTCTAGACAGAATGCCTTATTATCAAGATATAGACTGAGTGAGTGGGTACGTGAGTCAGCATGCTTCTTTCCGAGATATTTCCCAAGACGATGCAGTGTCACCGTCTAAACAGGATGTGAGTGAGTGAGTGAGTGAGTCAACATGCTTCATTTACTAGATATTTCCCCAGGCGATGCAGTTTCACCGTCTAGACAGAATGCTTTATTTTCCAGATATTTCCGTAGAGTGAGCGAGTGAGTGAGTGAGTGAGTGAGTGAGTCAACATGCTTCATTTACTTCTTTACACGGGTGACACATCTCACTGCCGGTCATGAAGTGTCTTGACTGGCGACACTACGACCACTATGGGGCGAGGTATGACGTCACTGTGACGCTCAAACGCTAGTGACGATACTGGGCCTACTGTAGCTAAATCCTTGCCGTCCATCCATCCAGTGAGTGAGTGAGTCAGCATGCTTCATTTACTAGACAGAATGTGAGTGAGTGAGAGATCGAGTGAGTGAGTGAGTGTGTGAGTCAACATGCTTCATTTACTACATATTTCTTTACACGGGTGACACATCTCACTGCCGGTCAAGAAGTGTCTTGACTGGCGGCACTACGACCACTATGGGGCGAGGTATGACGTCACTGTGACGCTCAAACGCTAGTGACGATACTGGGCCTACTGTAGCTAAATCCTTGCCATCCATCCATCCAGTGAGTGAGTGAGTCAGCATGCTTTATTTACTAGACAGAATGTGAGTGAGTGAGTGAGTGAGTGTGTGAGTCAACATGCTTTATTTACTGGACAGAATGTGAGTGAGTGAGTGAGAGATCGAGTGAGTGAGTAAGTGAGTGAGTCAACATGCTTTATTTACTAAACAGAATGTGAGTGAGAGATCGAGTGAGCGAGTGAGTGAGTGAGTGAGTGAGTCAACATGCTTTATTTACTGGACAGAATGTGAGTGAGTGAGAGATCGATCGAGTGAGTGAGTCAACATGCTTTATTTACTGGACAGAATGTGAGTGAGTGAGTGAGAGATCGAGTGAGTGAGTGAGTGAGTGAGTGAGTGAGTGAGTCAACATGCTTTATTTACTGGACAGAATGTGAGTGAGTGAGAGATCGAGTGAGTGAGTGAGTGAGTGAGTCAACATGCTTTATTTACTAAACAGAATGTGAGTGAGAGATCGAGTGAGCGAGTGAGTGAGTGAGTGAGTGAGTCAACATGCTTTATTTACTGGACAGAATGTGAGTGAGTGAGAGAGAGATCGAGTGAGTGAGTGAGTGAGTCAACATGCTTTATTTACTGGACAGAATGTGAGTGAGTGAGTGAGAGATCGAGTGAGTGAGTGAGTGAGTGAGTGAGTGAGTCAACATGCTTTATTTACTGGACAGAATGTGAGTGAGTGAGAGATCGATCGAGTGAGTGAGTCAACATGCTTTATTTACTGGACAGAATGTGAGTGAGTGAGTGAGAGATCGAATGAGTGAGTGAGTGAGTGAGTGAGTGAGTGAGTCAACATGCTTTATTTACTGGACAGAATGTGAGTGAGTGAGAGATCGAGTGAGTGAGTGAGTGAGTGAGTCAACATGCTTTATTTACTAAACAGAATGTGAGTGAGAGATCGAGTGAGCGAGTGAGTGAGTGAGTGAGTGAGTCAACATGCTTTATTTACTGGACAGAATGTGAGTGAGTGAGAGAGAGATCGAGTGAGTGAGTGAGTGAGTCAACATGCTTTATTTACTGGACAGAATGTGAGTGAGTGAGTGAGAGATCGAGTGAGTGAGTGAGTGAGTGAGTGAGTGAGTCAACATGCTTTATTTACTGGACAGAATGTGAGTGAGTGAGAGATCGAGTGAGTGAGTGAGTGAGTGAGTCAACATGCTTTATTTACTGGACAGAATGTGAGTGAGTGAGTGAGAGATCGAGTGAGTGAGTGAGTGAGTGAGTCAACATGCTTTATTTACTGGACAGAATGTGAGTGAGTGAGTGAGAGATCGAGTGAGTGAGTGAGTGAGTCAACATGCTTTATTTACTGGACAGAATGTGAGTGAGTGAGAGATCGAGTGAGTGAGTGAGTGAGTGAGTCAACATGCTTTATTTACTGGACAGAATGTGAGTGAGAGAGAGATCGAGTGAGTGAGTGAGTGAGTCAACATGCTTTATTTACTGGACAGAATGTGAGTGAGTGAGAGATCGAGTGATCGAGTGAGTGAGTGAGTGAGTGAGTCAACATGCTTTATTTACTGGACAGAATGTGAGTGAGTGAGAGATCGATCGAGTGAGTGAGTAAGTGAGTGAGTCAACATGCTTTATTTACTAGATGTTTCCCTAGACGATGCAGTTTCGTCGTCTAGGCATAATGCGTTATTATCATGATAATTCTATAGAGTGAGTGAGTGAGTGAGTGAGCTTCCAGTGAGTGAGTGAGTGAGTGAGCTTGCTTCGAGTGAGTGAGTGAGCATGCTTCATTTACTAGATATTTCCCTAGACGATGCTGTTTCACCGTCTAGACAGAACGCTTTATTATCCAGATATTTTCGTAGGGTGAATGAGTGAGTGAGTGATTGAGCTTGCTTCGAGTGAGTGAGTGAGTGAGTTAGTCAGGATGCTTCATTTACTAGATATTTCCCTAGACGATGCAGTTTCACCGTCTAGACAGAACGCTTTATTATCCAGATATTTCCGTAGGGTGAATGAGTGAGTGAGTGAGTGAGCTTGCTTCGAGTGAGTGAGTGAGTGAGTTAGTCAGGATGCTTCATTTACTAGATATTTCCCTAGACGATGCAGTTTCACCGTCTAGACAGAACGCTTTATTATCCAGATATTTCCGTAGGGTGAATGAGTGAGTGAGTGAGTGAGTGAGTCAGGATGCTTTATTTACTAGATATTTCCCTAGAAGAAGCAGTTTCACCGTCTAGCCAGAATATTCTCTTTCTAGATATTCCCATATAGTGGATGAGTGAATGAGTGGGTGGGTGAGTCAACATGCTTCATTTACTAGATATTTCCCTAGACGATGCAGTTTCACCGTCTAGACAGGATGCTTTATTATCTAGATACTCCCGTAGAGTGAGTGAGTTGATAAGTGAGTGAGCATGCTTCGAGTGAGTGAGTGAGCATGCTTTATTTACTAGATATTTCCCTAGACGATGCAGTTTCACCGTCTAGACAGGATGCTTTATTATCTAGATACTCCCGTAGAGTGAGTGAGTGGGTAAGTGAGTGAGCATGCTTCGAGTGAGTGAGTGAGTGAGTGAGCATGCTTCATTTACTAGATATTCCCAAGACGATGCAGTTTCACCGTCTAGACAGGATGCTTTATTATCTAGATATTCCCGTAGAGTGAGTGAGTGGGGGAGTGAGTGAGTGAATGAGTGAGTGAGTGAAACAACAAACTGCAGCATATGCAGACCATTTATTGGTTACGAAATAACATTTAGTGCAGCTATTTCATCCCTTGTAAATTTCATTTCTGGGCGGCTGGGCGAAGCTGTTCTGCGACAGGACAGCACCAGCCATCATCTTCTGTAGAAGAGCACTGACTGCATCAGGGGAGCCAATCGGGAAGATGTAGTAAGGTCTCGATGCAATTAGGTGGATTGTGGAATTGGCATCTACTTGGGAGATAGCAACAACAAATACCTCAGCTTTGGCTTTCAGATCACCAATACTGGCAGCAATGGCCTCCCGGTCCTCCCTTGTGGTGTACCCATCGGTAAACATGATGACCTTGTTGTCAGCGTCATTGCGGTCGCCGTTGAAAATTGTACTTGTAGCCAGCTTGATGGCATCGCCGATGTTCGTAGAAGGACCCTCTTCGTATGTCTGCTGTTTGAGAGCTGCCAGAACGCCCGACTTGTTGTTGCTATGCTCATTGAATCTGAATACCACTCTAGCGTTTGAAGAAAACGCTATCAATGCAACGTTAACAGCATCACGGCCTATGGTGGTAGAGTTTACCATACTCTCTTGGAATCGTTTCATTTCGTCAAAGTTGGGTTTGCCGATGGAGCGTGAAACATCGTCTACAATCAGGATGTCTAGCTTCAGGTCAGTGTAGACTGGAAAACAAACGGGCCATATGCAAAGATTGTTCCTAGTCTGTAGATGAAGGGACTTTGTTGTTCGTTACAGAGTGTTACACATATATAGATATTATCATATAATGGGTAGGTTTCTCGGCAGGATAAAGCCAACGGATAAAAACGATATCCGTTTGGGTCATATGCGGATAGAGATGCAAATATCTAAGGTCAACTAGGGACTACTTTCGCTGTTTATAAACAAACATGGCGTCGCCCTCGGCATTCGGCGATGGAGTCAGAATTAACCATCGGGAGTCTGGATAAACTACAGGGATAATTGCTCTCATTATCAAAAGAACAGTCTAATATACTGAAAATCAGTGTCCCTACTGTGACGTAGCTGAGGCATTTTATAAGTTTTGGCAACTTTGGAGATATAAATTTCGAAACACTTTTGCGAGGGCAAGAGGCCTAGCCAAGGTATGTGTTTGTAGACCTCTGCGGCTTGAAACCTTCTCCACAAATTAAAATAGTTTGATTTGGCCGAAATATGTTTGAATTGTTACCTTGTTTCGTTTTGTCGCTGTGTGTACATCTGACTACACTTCTTAACGTTATGACAGGACAGACCGATTGTCAACAACGTCTGACCGTGGCCGTGACGTCTCATAGACTAGGGTTAGAGTAGCTTCCCTTTGACAAAGGGCAGTTACTCTAGCGAACTGACCGATGTATTGCGGCAAAAGGCAATTGAAAACAATTGTTGTTTTGCATATAAGTTGCTTCGCCACTGTATAAGAAACAGATTTCAGTTGGAACTATATTGACTACTGTCACTGTCCGACTGACACATCACTTACCCTGTGACTTAATAAATATTAATGCGCGCATTTCAGGAAAACTCGCAATGTTTCGGTAATGTTTGTGAGAGAGGTTGGGTGGTTGGTTTGTTGTTTAACGCCGCACTCAGCAATATTCCAGCTATATGACGCCGGTCTGTAAAAAATCGAGTCTGGACCAGACAATCCAGTGATTTATATCATGAGCATAGATCCACGCAATTGGGATCGATGACATGCATCAACCAAGTCAGCGAGCCTGACCCCCCGATCCCGTTAGTCGCCTTTTACGACAAGCATAGTCACCTTTTATGGCAAGCATGGGTTGCTGAAGACCTGTTTTACCCTGGAATCTTCACGGGTCTTGTGAGAGAGGGAAAGCGATATTGAAGTAGAGAATTAAGGAATGACATTATATAATAAAGAGGCTATCACGCTTGTGTGTTTGGGGATGGTTAATATCGTGTATTGGGAATAAACACTCATTATATATATATACTGTCTATATATATTGATGGACAGATTTGTAAATGTAAGCGATTAAGGGAAGAGCAAGGGTGGTTGGATCTATTGTCTGACATGATTCTTCGTGTGAGGGTGTCAACACCGTGAATTTCTTGTTTCCTCTTATAAACAACACCAGGAGAATACGAAAGGACAGGTACAGCATAAGTATTTGTGGCTTTAACTTTATGCTCTGAACTCCAGATGTTCTTTAGTCTACATTTATACTCGGCCCGAAGTTTTTCCTTGCTATGGGCATTATGGAGTTTATAATCATCATTGACACTAAATGTATTGAGCATCTTCCACATATGCTGCTGCTGCAACTACCACTACTTCCACTACCAAAGAAGTTCTCTGATCGTGAAGCGTGCCCTTCCTATGACTAGTGTTTAACGTCGCGTCAAAGATTATTGCACTTATATAGCGACGTGCATGCACGTGTGTGTGTGTGTGTGTGTGTGTGTGTGTGTGTGTGTGTCTGCTTGTACTAGCCCGGACTGATGCCGATTTATAGTGCTAGCTCACTGAGATACCATGCCGCAGTTTAACATGAATACCCCACTCAGACACAGTGTACTGACTCCGAGCCGACCAGTCCTTGTTTTATCCCCTTAATGCCGAGCGCCAGACAGGGAAACAACGTGTACCATTTTTAACGTCTTTTGGTATGACGCGGTCGGGGATCGAACCCCGGACCTTCCGCTCTCCGGTCGGACGCTCTACCACTAGACCACGGCGGCGGTCTAGTGTCAGGGTATAACCGCCTTGACAGTTCTTCATGTATGAACATCAGGGTATAACTGCCATGATAATTCTTCATGTATGGACATCAGGGTATAACCGCCATGATAATTCTTCATGTATGAACATCAGGGTATAACCGCCATGATAGTTCTTCATGTATGAACATCAGGGTATAACCGCCATGATAATTCTTCATGTATGAACATCAGGTTATACCCGCCATGACAGTTCTTCAATCAACATCAGGGTATACCCGCCATGACAGTTCTACATGTATGAATATCAGGGTATACCCGCCATGACAGTTCTGCATGTATGAATATCAGGGTATAACCGTCATGACAGTTCTTCATGTATGAATATCAGGGTATAACCGTCATCACAGTTCTTCAAGTATCAACATCAGGGTATACCCGCCATGACAGTTCTACATGTATGAATATCAGGATATAACCGCCATGACAGTTCTTCATGTATGAATATCAGGGTATAACCGCCATGACAGTTCTTCATGTATGAATATCAGGGTATAACCGTCATGACAGTTCTTCAAGTATCAACATCAGGGTATAACCGCCATGACAGTTCTTCATGTATGAATATCAGGGTATAACCGCCATGACAGTTCTTCAAGTATCAACATCAGGGTATAACCGCCATGACAGTTCTTCAATCAACATCAGGGTATACCCGCCATGACAGTTCTACATGTATGAATATCAGGGTATACCCGCCATGACAGTTCTGCATGTATGAATATCAGGGTATAACCGTCATGACAGTTCTTCATGTATGAATATCAGGGTATAACCGTCATGACAGTTCTTCAAGTATCAACATCAGGGTATAACCGCCATGACAGTTCTTCATGTATGAATATCAGGGTATAACCGCCATGACAGTTCTTCATGTATGAATATCAGGGTATAACCGCCATGACAGTTCTTCATGTATGAACATCAGGGTGTACCCGCCATGACAGTTCTTCATGTGTGAACATCAGGATATAACCGCCATGACAGTTCTTCATGTGTGAACATCAGGGTATACCCGCCATGACAGTTCTTCATGTATGAACATCAGGGTATAACCGCCATGACAGTTCTTCATGTGTGAACATCAGGGTATAACTGCCATGACAGTTGTTCATGTATGAACATAAGGGTATACCCGCCATGACAGTTGTTCATGCATGAACATCAGGGTTTAACTGCCATGACAGTTCTACATGTATGAATATCAGGATATAACCGCCATGACAGTTCTTCATGTATGAATATCAGGGTATAACCGCCATGACAGTTCTTCATGTATGAATATCAGGGTATAACCGCCATGACAGTTCTTCATGTATGAATATCAGGGTATAACCGTCATGACAGTTCTACATGTATGAATATCAGGGTATAACCGCCATGACAGTTCTTCATGTATGAATATCAGGGTATAACCGTCATGACAGTTCTTCATGTATGAACATCAGGGTGTACCCGCCATGACAGTTCTTCATGTATGAACATCAGGGTATAACCGCCATGACAGTTCTTCATGTGTGAACATCAGGGTATACCCGCCATGACAGTTCTTCATGTATGAACATCAGGGTTTAACTGCCATGACAGTTCTTCATGTATGAACATCAGGGTATAACCGCCATGACAGTCCTTCATGTGTGAACATCAGGGTATACCCGCCATGACAGTTCTTCATGTGTGAACATCAGGGTATAACCGCCACGACAGTTCTTCATGTAAACACCTCAGGGTATAACCGCCACGACAGTTCTTCATGTATGAAAATCAGGGTGTAGTCCCTATGAGAGTTTCGAATGGGTAAACATTAAGGTATGGAAACAGTTTTGAGGGGGCAAAAATCAGAGTGTGGGCAACACGACACTTTTGAAGGATTGAAAATGAGGTAGCGGTCGTAATAACAATTTCAAAGGTGCGATATTCTGAATGTGGTTACCAGGATAGTTTTGAAGGGGTAAGAATCAGAGTATTATCTCTATAACAGTTTCGAGTACTTGAAAATCAAGGTTTGGACGCCAAAACAGTTTTGCAGGGGTGAGAACCAGGGTGTGGTCACCAAGGACTACACATGCACCTGTTTCGAATGGGTGGAAATCAATATATGGACGCCAAAACAGTTTTGAGGAGGTGAAGATCAGGGCGTGTACAACATGACAGTTTTGAGGAGGTGAAGATCAGGGCGTATACAACATGACAGTTTTGAGGAGGTGAAGATCAGGGCGTGTACAACATGACAGTTTTGAGGAGGTGAAGATCAGGGCGTATACAACATGACAGTTTGAAGGAGGTGAAGATCAGGGCGTATACAACATGACAGTTTTGAGGAGGTGAAGATCAGGGCGTGTACAACATGACAGTTGTGAGGAGGTGAAGACCAGGGCGTATACAACATGACAGTTTTGAGGAGGTGAAGATCAGGGCGTGTACAACATGACAGTTTGAAGGAGGTGAAGATCAGGGAGTGTACAGCATGACAGTTTGAAGGTTTGAAAGTCAGTGAAAGGGTGCAAACATTGATGTGGTCGCTGTGACAGTTTTGAATGAGTAGAAGTTCAAGGTACGGCCACCAATACAGTTTTGAAGGGGTAAAATGAAGGGTGTGGTTGCCATGGCAGTTTGTAAAGGGTGGTAGTTAGTGTGTGAACGCCATGACAGTTCTTAAAGCGTGACAATCAGGGTGTGAATGCCATGACAGTTTTTAAAGGTTGTGGTCGCTATGACAGTTTCGAGGGTGTGAAAAGTAGGGCATGGTTTCATAACAGTTCCGAATGAGGGATATAAGGCATCAACGAGCTGAAAATCAGGATATGATCGCAATGATAGTTCCAAAAGGGGGAATCTCAGGGTGTGGCTGCTATGACAGTTGGTGATAATGAACCTGGAATATTGCTGAGTGCGGCGTCATACAGAAAACAAACAAAAACAATCTGACACACCGTCATAGAACTAAAAAAGTCTTAAAAGATGCGTTGAAGCGAACTCATTCCATCATGGCCATTCTGAACCCCCCTACCTGTACAGTGATCACCCGTAAAACCAGGCGGACAGGTGCACGTGTAGTCGGCGTCTATCTGCGTGCATGTGCCCCCATTAGCACAAGGTTCCAGTACTTTACAGGCCACATTGCGGGCTGCAAAATAAAATATGAAGGTTAATTAGGTTTGCAGAAAGTGTTTTGAAATAAGAATAAAAGTGCCAAAGACAACATCTATGCAAATACATAAGAGTTTTGGAAGGTTGCTAATCAGTATCTGAATGCCATGACAGTTTTTTAATTGTTATGATCAGGTGTGGTCGCCATGCTAGTTTTAAAAGCGTGATAATTAGGATGTGGATGCCAGTTTTTGAAGATGTAATCAGTGTTTAAACGACTGTTTTTAAAGGGTGATAATCAGGAAGTGGTCGCCATGATAGTTTTGGAAGATCGTAATCAGTGCGTGAAAGCCATGGCAGTTTGTAAACTTAAGGCTAAAAATCAGGCTGGGTCACCATTACAGTTTCAAAGTGGTTTAAATTAGGATGTGGTGGCCATAACAGTTCCAAATGAGGGCAAATCCGGATAATGACGTTATGAATGTTTCGAATGGGTGCAAATTAGGATATCGTCGCCATGAATGTTTCCAATTGGTGCTAATCAGGATATGGCTTTAGAATGGGTGTAAACCAAGGTATGGACGCCAAAACAGTAATGAGAGGATCAAAGTCAGAGAGTGGACAACATGGCAGTTTCTCGGGGATGAACATCAGTGTGCGGTCGCAATGACAATTTCAAAGGTGCGAAAATCTGATTGTGGTTACCATGACAGTTTGGAAGGGTCCGGAATGCAGGTAATGTCTCTATGACAGTTTCGATTGCTTGAAAATCAAGGCATGGACGCCAAAACAGTTTTGAAGGTGTGCAAATCAGTGTCCGGTCACTGTGAGATTTTCGAAAGGGAGAGAATTGGGCTTTGGTGATTATGAAAGTTTTGAATTGGTGGAAATCAAGATGTGAACGTAAAAAAGGTTTTGAGGAGGTGAAGATCAGGATGTGCACAACATGACATTTTGAAGGGGTGAAAATCTGGATGTGGTCACTGTGACAGTTTCGAATGAGTCAAATCAAATCAAATCAATGGAACGGTCATCAATACAGTTTTGATGCGGTAAAAGTCAGGGTGTGGTTGCCATGACAGTTTCGATGGGGTACAAATCAGGTACTAGTTTGTCGGGCGTTGTCGAATGGTCCTTTTTACAGGTGAATCCAGATACTGTCTGGACGTCAATGACGACAGGACATGTGTCTGGAGGAACAGCTACAATACACAAACTGTACAATTGTCAAACCGATCTTGTGAACTTCAGGTGCTGGTTTGCTTCGTGGATTCAGTGGACCTAGTGGGTGTTTGGTGCTATAAAGGGTTTCAAGTGTATTCAAGGCATAAAAATGGGATTTCTATATGCAGCCAGCCAGCTTTAATATTTCTTTTAGTAAAACATCTCCTCAAAACATTATAAGACCATTGGTCTGAAACGTGGTTGTTGAGATAGTCACTTTATGACGTACCAAGTAAGTTCAAGATAATCGGAAATACAATATGGTTGCCAGTCGCCATACTGGAAAATACAAAACATCATTCATCGTTATCAATCTCATTAAAATCAGATCTTAGTTCTAGCTGTCGCAAAACAAAGATCTGAGGACATCCCATTATGGGTCACCTTAGAACGATCTTTCATCCGACCTATCAAAGCATCGCTTCCAAGATCATGAAAGTGAGAGTCGGAATGTATTTTATAATCATGCATCCTCCAAAACGTTAACACTGCAATACACTCTCAACCATATATTAGACATTCCAAAATGTTCGCTTGTTCGGTTTTCGAATTTTTTGTTCGATAACTGTGTCAATATAGTTTTCAAGCGTAGACAGAAATGGAAGTCGCCAGGTTGAATCGAGTGCCGTAAAGTTCGAGAAGGCTGCTTTCTAATTGGCTGATGCCGACTTCTAGTTAGTTCGTGAAAGGTCGTTCTGACGTGACCCGTAATGGGATGTCCTCAGATCTTTGTTTAGTGGCAACGAGAACTTAGATCTGTTTTCATGAGATTGCCATCATAATCTTCTTCTCCTCAGAAACCACGTGATCAATGTAGCTGAAACCTCACATTTTTCCTCACACCAATGATGACACCTGAATGTGTTCAAGAGGTTTGAATCAGACTGTTTTCGATATGGGGATATTACAGTAGGTCTATAATGCCATTCATTTATCATAATAATGGGGATCTTTGATCACTTCTAATTCAATATCTGGACGCCAATATTTCGTACTTAACTTACTTTCAAAAATTAATGATTGAATTCAAACCTATTGTTGTTGGTTATTCCATAGAATACAACGTAAAGTGTCAATGGGGCAAGAGATATGCGATACATGTGAGCGACAGTAACCAACTTACGCGCACTGTAGCCCCGGTGACAAATCAGCAGGAGAAGCAGCAGTCTTATCGGATCCTTGAAGAATCAACATTTGAATTAATGGAAAGTCTGCTTCAAAATTAAAGCAATTAAATTATATAAAAACATCGAGGCAGGCTGGTTGACATAAGTGGTGAGATTTGTTTTCTATCAATACTCAGCAGCAGTATCACATAAAAATACGAAGCAAAAAGGTATATAATACATTAAAAGAGGGTCAAAAGAAAGTTTGTTTGTTTATATAATTGAAATTTTGTCAAATTTAATTATGTCTATTTAAACAACAGTTTGTAAAAAGTAATCTGAACTGAATTTGCAACCGCATGGCCCCTACCATGTTTGAAATGCTGTACATTTAAGCCGAAAAATCTTAATATATAATATCTTAATATCTTAATCTGTCTAAGATACCCATCAGCAGTTGTATATTATGTGAATTGTTATGATTTCAAAAGTTTTATATTAAGTTATATATTTTTTAGATACAACCATCTCCAAGTATTCTATCAGGGATGATAAAGCGTCATTACAGTTCCTTTTTATATAATATCGCTCACTTCAGATATTTTCAATTATAAATCAAACATATAAAGAAATCAACTGAATGTCCTAGTTTCTTTTGCCCCTCAGTTCATGATAACAGGGGGCCGCGATTCGCTGTGCAGAGTTGCGTCCCTTGGGCCCGCCAGAAGCCTATGATTGTGGGTTCGAATCCCGGTTCGCCCCGATTATGTTTCTAGGTTTGTCAGCACCATACCCTTACTCGTGGGTTTCACCGAAGTGGTAAACGTCTGCATCACTTCGGGCTTTCCTCCCACATTAAGCTGACACGCCTTGATATAGCTGCAATACTGTTAAAAGCGGCGTTAAAGCCAACTCACTCATACTCATCATGACAATAATGTTTGTGCATCATGGACAGATAACATATTTTTTTCCCATCCGCCTACTATGAACTCATTAAACAATAATCACTACACCTGCACAAACTAATCCTGATTAACAGGCTTTATGTCCCATTGGCTTCCACCTATGTGTTCTCTGTCCACCATGTTGTGACAGTATTATCCTTCTGTTGCCATTTTATAATCATGTTATCCCACTCATGTATGCAATTGTTGTTACCGTTAATCCTCTACTATTAATCCTCTACCGACTATATAGTAGAGTCATATCCCTGGAATCCGTGACCACTTTGTTCCTACCTTTTTTTTATGATGGACTTGTTTAACTGACATGTTTAACTTAACATTTAGCCCCCATGACCCTCTGGAAAAAGACGGCTAACTCTGCCAGAAAGCAAAATTCAAAATGGCCGTCGACGCCATTTTAAATAGCATGAAATAGTATATCTCTGGAAGAATATAAGCCACAGACACATATAAGGTGTCTAATTCCACTAATTTGAACATGCTTAATCCATTGGAATCGTTATTTTTTACATTAGAAGCAATTCTGACCTTGAATTCCAAGATGATCTCTCATAACTGCCATCATCAGAATCACTAGATAGATCACTCTCATTATCGTCTGCTGGTGAGATTGCAGGTACGGTAATTGTTGAAGGTAAAGCAGGCTGTGTGTAACGATCAGGCAGGTAAAGGCCAGGATCACAATGCCAACAATGACCTATTGGAGAGGGGTGCAAATATGCCAAGTAGTTTTCCTGTTCCAAGTGATGGCGGAGACTGTCCGAATCAGTTGCAAGTCTGATGGTGTTTCCACTTGGATGCCCTGACTTCTCCCAAACTTGCACTTTTGGAATCAAAACAGACATAACGAATTACAAATCGTTCCAAGTTCTCTATGACTTCTTGTGTGACTGGAAGTTCTCTACCACAACTTGTTAGCAGGCTCTGTGCTTCTTCAGGATGCTGGGTGCGATGTACAATACTCTTCTAGCCAATCCCATAGAAACCAGAGTTATGGTCACGTCCAGTAAGCACATGAATTGGTATAATGCATTCTGCCTTTTCCTCGTCACACAAGCATCAAGCAGAGATCAGTTGGTGTTTCTTTTTAATACATATCAGGTGTTTTTTTAGCAACATATGGACCATTGCTTCATAGAAGAGGTACAGACATCATACACCATGCTTGAAATGTTTTCCTCGGGGGGCTTGATCTACAGACACTTCTGCAAATACACCTTCTGCCACTAACACATCAGAAATACCTGAACCCTTAAACCTCTTGTAAATGGCATAGATGAATGACATTTGGATGTGGAAGGGTGCAATGCATGGCAAAATTTTGCTGAACTGAACCGCCTTCTCACTTTTCAAGTCCAGTAAGAGCAAGTAGACCGGATAATCACCTACAATGATTGCGAAAGGCATCTTTTTTCATTAATTGACTTAGCAAGTTTGCACATCACATCATAGAGGATGGTCTTACTAGGAGGGTCAGAATATGTCATGTGGTATATTGCGCGGCTCTTGACATGGTTGTGACATGTTAGCATGAAACCCTTTTTAACCAGGCACTTGCTGTTCTTCTGGGGCGGTATTCACAAAGCTTCTTAGAATTTTCTTAAGCCTTAAGAATTCTTAAATCCACAAAGAAATCTTAGTTTCCCTAACAACCAACTTAAGTTTTAAGAAATTTCTTAAGTCATATTCACAGAGCTTCTCAGTGCTTAGTTCTTTGCTTAAGTTTAAGATACCTCATGAGCTTACTTAAGTCCTTAAGAATTTTCTTAAGACATCCAATATGGCTGCCATAGGTATTGTACAAACCACCGCTAGACGAGATGTACTGCAAATATATTCTGACAAAGAACTAATCAGAAGATACAGGTTAAACAAAAGTGGTATTGAATATGTGACTGGGTTAATTGCTGATAAAATATGTCCTAGCACCTCTCGTTCTCATGCCATGACAGGAACTGAAAAGGTTGTAGCAACGCTACGTTATTTCGCTACAGGCATAATGCAATTATGCAACGGGGATGACTTGGGTCTTTCCCAATCGTCGGTCAGTCGGGCGATAGAGCAGACAGTGTCAGCTTTGTCCGACGCCGAGATCGCATCCCAGTTTATTCACTTTCCGACAACACGGGTTTGCATTCGTCGGAATCAAGCGGCGTTTTACAACATCGCTCACTTCCCTGGCGTTGTTGGAGTGATTGATGGATCCCATGTGCAGATTATTGCACCATCTGTCGACGAACCCTCATATGTAAATCGTAAACAGTACCACAGTATAAACACACAGATTGTATTTGATCCAAACAACATGATAATTGACCTTGTTGCGAAGTGGCCAGGCTCGACACACGACTCGAGAATACTCACCGAAAGCGGGCTTCATATTTTATTTGAACGACACATCGTGCCAACCGGATGTCACCTACTTGGAGATAGTGGCTACCCCTGCAGAAACTGGCTGCTTACGCCGTACTTGAGACCAAATCCTGGCTCACAGACATCCTACAATCGGTAATATTCTCCTACATTCGTGAACACGCAATCGTAATGAGAGTTATCCCCCTTCAAAATTACAAAAGTGAGAATTGGTTGTTGTGAAAAGTTTAAGTGTTCAAATGTGAAAAGATATTTGGTTGTGCATATATATATCGAAAGTGAACATTAAGAAATTACCCATATACAAATATGAAATATATTTAATGACAGATAAGCAAGAAAAACATTTATGTTTAAAAAAACATAAAAAATATTCTAAAAATATATAGGTCAATGTGAATCACTTTTTACAAAGTATAAAAAAGCCTAAATATTTTAGTCATTACATCAAGTGACTAAAACATCTGTCCATTCACCTAACAGACTGGATAATCGTTATTGGAGTTCAAAAGGGCTTAGACACTTCTCAATAATTATTGACTACTCATGTTCAATCACTGAGTGATGAAATAGAGCATAATAATGTTTGGATTTAATTATTATTATAAATAAAATGGACAGATTTTTTACTCAATTTGTAAGATAACTGAAACAAATTTGTGGAAATTCATTATGGAACACACTGACTGTAATACACACATATCTGTAAATTGTTGTGTGTGTGTGTGTGTGTGTGTGTGTGTGTGTGTGTGTGTGTGTGTGTATTAGACGGGTTCTGAACTTGTTTTCCAGAGCACATAAAAGGACGCGGAGTGTCGTGGAAAGAGGTATAGGCCAGCTCAAGAGACGGTTCCATGTCTTACATGGAGAGATTCGCCTTTCTCCAATTAAGGCATGTAAAATCATAACATGTTGTGGAATTCTGCATAACATCTGCAAGATAAGGAATATCCCATTACCTGACAGTGAGTCCAATGATCCGGATGAAGACATGACAGCCCCCTACAGAGAGAGAGATATTCCTGGCCACAACTTGACCTTCAGGAATCACTTTGCAAACACTCACTTTCAGTGTGAGTGATAATTCTTCTTTAAATTGAGTAAAACCACTATTTAATGAATTATATTCAACAACAAAAAAATTCAGTAAAAAAACAGTTTATTTTAACAAATAAGAGTATAAGAATCAGTTGATAAGGTTTACCTTTTTTCAAAAATAATTCACAAACAATTTATTACAACTGGTTAATGAATTTAATATTGTTACTATAATTGTTAAATATTATATATAATTTGTGAATCTCAAGGATTCTTTAAATAATGCTCAAGGGTTCAATTGCAATGCATTTTCCCAGTTTACTTACCTGGTATATGAAAATACATTTATCTTCTTGTAAGAAACATCTTATGACAGACAGATTTTATTGTAGTAAATTCAAAAGAACGATAGTACATAAAGTCTTCAATACATAATCATTGTTGAAAGTTAAACACGTTTAAATTCTTCCTGCATTTCTTATACATATTTCAGAAATTTAGCAAATACATGTTGTAATACATATCACAATTTCTTGGAGTAACTGGCCCTGTTTGTCATATCAAATGCAGTGACACAGAATAAGATATTCATCCTCACTGGCCACTGGCCATAGATAACAATACTGTTTAGCACTGATAAACATACCTGTCAGGTGATAGTCTCAACAGACGGAGCAAGTACTTTCTACAATT